TTACGTAGACGTGCAAATACGTCTCAGAATATTAAGAAAGGGCATCACTTAAGTACAGTTATAAGGGCAACGTTTTCGGACTAGTGGCGCTATCCGTCATTGGATTAAACAAGGGAGTATGTTTTATCTATGATTAAACTCACTTTATTTTAAACCAAACATATGGACCAGAATTTATGTTTTTTTTATTTTTTTATAAAAAATTAACCCTTAGAGTGCCAGGCAAGAAATAAAAGTAACGCTCAAAAAATGCCGATGATTTTTCCCGAAGGTCGCGCTAAAAATGCCGAGCGCGATCTGGCGATTTTTAGGTTAAAATTTCGTAAAAATCGAATTTTCGATATTTCGACCAACGAAAATCGATGTATCGCATCTAGTAACTTTCGACTCAATGTTAATATATGGGTTAAAAGAATCCGAGTATCCATTCGGTTGTTATGACAGCTGTTCGATCATTACGAAACGTCCGGTCAGCCGGACGTTGGCACTTTTGGCTCGTTCTAAAAACGTCCGGTCGGCCGGACGTCGGCACTTTTGGCTCGTTTTAAAAACGTCCGGTTCCCCGGACGTTGGCACTCAAAGGGTTAAATATCATCATATTTTAATGTTTTATACACAAAAGAATCACACCTCTATAAAAACATAACGATTTTTCGGGTCTCAGGTAAGTTTTTTCGGAGTTATACAAACTTAAAAAAGATTTTATTGGCTTTTTTTAATTTTTTAGAGATTTTTTTTTTAGATTTATATTTTTTTCTAGAAAGACCAAATATACCAAAAAGCTTAGTGAGCTGTTTATTGTATAATGGCCCTAAAAGTAAATTAATTTATATTAAATCATAGTTATGAAAATAATATTAACTATTTTTAATATTCAGTTTTATGTCCGTCATGGTCGTGACAAAATTTCGTGTTTTCCATCAAAGATCGATGCTATATTAATAAAAAATCACCAAAGATAAATGCGTTACCATGGAAATTTTATGAAACTTCAAATGTTAATTAAATAAAAAAATAAAAGTTTCAAAAAACGGAACAAAAAATTTTAAAAGTGTGCTTTTCCTTGTTTCAAAATTTTCACTCAATAATATTACAACATAACAATGTGTAAACCAGTTACAAATGTCTATATTTCGTTTAATACAAATGACAGTAGTATTACAAGCTAATCACACTGATATAAATGTGAAAGTTTTGGGTGTTTGTTTGTTTGAAGTTTAATCATACATTAACTACTGTTTATTGGTCTTAACACGCCCATGCGGGAGGGCTCAACATGCCCGTCTGACGGTGCCGTCTGGTGGTACCCGGGGCTCAGCACGCCCATTAGGTGTCCCGTAGGCTCAACATGCCCATATGGGGGTGCTGGTGGCTCAACACACCCGTCCAACGGTACCCGTAGCTCAACACACCCATCAGGTGTCCCACGGGCTCAACATGCCCATGCGGGGGTGTCGGGGACTCAACACACCCGTCCAACGGTACCCTTGGCTAAACCCACCCATAAGGTGTCCCGCGGACTCAACACGCCCATGCGGGGGTGTCGGGGGCTCAATACCCCCATCATCAGGTGTTCTGCGGATTTTGTCTACACTAACGATCAGTGTTGACGTACATGAACTAGACACGAAAAACAAACTTCAAAATTAACAATGGGATGAGAAGTCTACTTATGTTGCATAGTCTACGGTTTTATCTATGAAAAAGTATTTTTATACCGGCATTACACAATATTACAAAATAAATATTATACAATAAGAACTAGTTATCATGCATAGCATAAATACATTGAGCTCAGTGCATAAATAAGCAACACGAGCAGTATCAAACTTATGATAATATGTTTCAGTTTACATAATTAAAGAAAAACAATAAATACCAAAAATTATTCTACTATTCAACAATACCCCCGCTGCAGCAAACCTGCAGACTAAGCAAATTTCCATTTACCTGGCTGCATTTCTACTCAAATATTCCCTTAAAATTGTCAGATTTATTTCCTACTAGCTGTTGTACCCGTGCTTTGCAACGGAAGAGGACACTAAATAGAATCATTTTAATCTTTACATTTGTTGCATATAATAGTTACACATCCGCCAACGCTTTTAGAAACGAAATTCAACTTTTATGGCCGTAATAGAAACGTTTAAGTTATGACTTTAAATCTGGTAAGTAGTGGGTACCACCATTTCATTTCCCTTAATTACATATCTTTTTATTTATTAATGACATTTTAAATTTAAATTTTTGAAGTTATTACTAATTATTAAATTTAAATGAACATTATTTTAAAATTTCACTCTTCTTTATATTAAATCACAAATCCTTCCATCTTCAGTTTTTTCACTCACAATAAATCATTAGCAAAACTAAGTCAGCTGTTATAAACTTAAGAAATATTGCTGTGCCTTACCAATACAGTCTTTTGAATATCTATAGGTACTATAAAAAATTTTAAACAAATAATTTAGCATTAAAGACAGTAGACAAAACTAATATGATTATCAAAACATCAAGGACTAAAAAATGTAATAGCAAATACAGTATATGTTTCACTGCATCTCTGATTCTACTCTACAAAAATATCAACAAACAACTTAATATACAAACCATTTCTTTTAATCAGTTCCATCGTCCATTGTCTTTACATTTTGCACACTTACAAAACTTTTAAAAACTTTTAACACACAGTTTAAAACACTGTGTACTGCTTAGTTTTATGATATTTTCTTTGGTTTAATTTAATCAGTGGTGTGGCAAAACATTAAATTTATCAAATACAAATACAGTAAATGTGAACTGAAAGCTAAGTTAAGATAAAATACGAGTATTTTGTATTACCATTTGATAATTAATTATAGTTACACATATACAACAGATTTTAAAAAACAAAACTCAAAGACGTACAATTTAGTTATTGATGATATTCTTTAGTTTAATTTAAGCATAGGTTTAGCAAAACACAATAACTTAATTTACCTAAATATACATAAAAAAAAACAATGTGATGTGCAAGTTATGTTAAGTTAATCTAACACATGTGAAGCAGTTAGAATTTATTTGAAGTAGCCTCCAAATTCATATAAAACATCTATACATTGTAATTTTCATACTGTTTCCATGAAATCATATCAATAATATTATTTTCATAACTTAGACGCTTTAAAAAAATCCAAAGCAGAGCCGGAGTTGATACTGGGAGTTAATACAGCAACGGTTATAGAATCTTTTTTTATATAATCATTGGCATAGTTTTAGAATAAATAATCCATGATAAAAGGTTAGATTAAAATAAACCTACCTCATAGTTATGGAAAATATTATATTTAATTTCTTTGTATCAGCTGTCTAAAGTTATGCAGTTTAGCAGTTCTTCTTGTTTACATTTAAATGTCAAACCAAATGTAAACAAACATTTTTAGTGTTCTCATCAAAGCCATGGAGACCAATCAATATTTACTTTTAAAATCTTTACCTCAGAACTTTTAAAGCCAAAGGGGCAAAGCCTACGGTCATTATCCAAATGTGAATAGTCCTATAATGGTCCTTTGTATGGTAACTATATTTTTGGTAAAATTTTAGCCCAGTTGGTTCAGTAGTTTTTGCACCTATTAGTAATACACATACAGACAGACACCATTAGATTTTTATATAATAGTATATAGATTTAAATAACATTAATTTTAATGAGTACTTAGGTTTGCTGCTACAGGGAAATGTATTGAGGTGTGTTTTTATTGAAATATTGATAGCTTAATATGAAATTAATAAAATGGGAAATTTTATTAAAATTTATCCATAAACAAGCAAACTACAACAGTTTATTTATTCTCCATAAGAATAAAATACAAATTTTAAATTTACATTTTTTTTAATTATCCCCGTAACGGTTAGGCATACAACAACAATCCAATATACTAAATTATTTATTTTTTAAGCTCACAATATGGTTTGGATAAATTGTGAAATTTTGTGTTTTTAGGGTAAAAAATGGGGAAAACCAATTTTTACCCCATAAACCCCCGTTCCCGTAGTCCGATCATGCTCGTTCGCGAACTCGTTCGAATAAACGTAGGTTTACACGTTTGTACCAAATTTCATCAAAATCGGATCACTTACTTTTGCTCTAGTTATCGCGCTAACGGAAATATATATTATATATATATATATTTATGAATTTGAACTGATGGTGTTTTTGGTCTCTGGGGACCTCAAAAGGAAAAAGTAAATCGGTCCCGGGTCTAGGTCTTACCATGAGACCTACGGTAATAGCTTATTCCCTATCTGGGAAATTCGCTAAAAACACTTTGTAATGTATACAGTGCATATGACCTTTCTTTGTCTTCACTTAGGCGGCCGTGCTTCGAGTATCAAATACTTTTGGTTTTTGCTACGTTGGCTGCACTTAACGCAACCATCTTTTAGTCCGTACGATAATTTGAGGACCACTGACCACTACACTGCACGATAATCTGTGTTGTTTACAGAGGATCGATCAGTGGTTCCATCCACTATGACGCCATTCCCGTGTGTTATAAGCTATGACACGTTTTGAGAATTATAAGCTATAGAACAAACAAGATTTTATAAACTGCAGCACATTTGAGCTATACCATTATATGCCACATTTTAGAAACCCGTTATAAGCTATGCCACATTTCTATGATTATAAGCTATAGAACAAATTCGCAATTATAAGCTATGGCATCATAAGCTTAAAGCTATGACATCGTACCGATGAAAGGCTACTTCGCTGGTTTGATTATAACCAAAGGACTAGATTAACGATTGAATTTTCTATTACGTCACCACAAGTTTTTTGTCTTCTTCTTTTCGATTCCACCGGACCTGCCATTGGGCCATTCCATTCCATCCCGACTCCGTTCCATTGCCGTTGCCGTGCCGAATCATCGTTTTCGTTTTCGTTGTCTGTCCCCTGTCGGCCCTGTCGTTGATCGTTTTTGTAAAATGTCAATCAGTTGCAGTTCGGTTGACGGTTAGTTAGTTTAGTTTGTCTTGTCCCTGTCTTCGTCTAAACCAGAATAAAACCGTCTCGCTTTATATCATTATTTTGTTAATAAATCATGGAATTAAATGTATTGATTTAAGTTAGCCATTATTGTAACACAACTTCCATAATGTTAACCTTTATGTACTAGTATGGTCTAGATCACCGCAAGTACATTTTACTGAGTTTAGTTTACCAAGAGATCATTTGACCACGCCGTAGGTATGACCTACTACCCTGCTTTGAATTTGATTTAAATTAAATTTGCTAGCCTTATTTGTTTAGTTAGTTAGTTGATAACTGAAAGGGAGAAATTCGTTAGGCTAGCCTATTTAGTATAATTTCATCTTGATGCCTCTGACCTATGATTGGCCTAGGCCTACTATAGACTTAATTATTTCTTTCTTGCGGGATTTATGTTCCTAACCTTTTTTATTTATTTTCTACCAAACAGCCATTAGGTATACAATATATGCATCAAAGCAAGATGGTTTAACTTACTTACACAAGTATGAATACAAGAACAGTAATACATGGCCTAATATAACATACAAAAATACTTAAGATAGATAAGATTACATATTGTATTGATTGATCCGACTCATTACAAAATAATACATGACTTACATGAACAAGCAAAACAAATAAGTTAGTCTACAGACTAACATTACAAGAGACATTTAACTTATACGATGAATCATTTCAAATAAATCACTATAGTCTTAAACCTTTATCCTTAACATTCTTGGAAGTAATTAGTATCCCGTTAATTGTAATATCAAAACTGTCCAGTAGGCTAGGCTGTTGAAATACAAGACTGGGTTATATAGGACACTGTTTTTTTCTGCAAGCATTTTTAAATTGTAAGGTATTTTGCAATGTTTTCCCCAGTGTTTAAATTGTACAAAAACAGTCTGTAGTCAACATAATTAGGAAATTGTTTAGATGGGGGTGACCAAGCGTTCTATAGTAAGTTATATATCATTGGAAACTAGATTTTTACCTGAAAATAATGGTGCAAAAATTTTTCTGCTGCCACAAAAACTGAATTTACTACGATTTTTTAAAGTTTATTACTGTAATGCATCTTGTCGGCTGGTCTCTGTCGCCATAACTTTACTGTGAATTGCCAAAGAGGACAAGGAGGTAGAGGCATTTATAAATTCAACTGAGCGTTGATTATGAACTACTTCAGTTCTTATTTAGACATGTGAGGTGGGTAGGTTGGGTGTTCTGTGGACTCGTGACTGTATTAAGTGTTTTGAAGTTAGGTTAGATTAGGAAGGTAAAGTTTAGGTTATAATGAATCGAGTTGTTGATTTATATTATCTCCAGACTGTTTATGCACTTTGTTAAAAGTACTACTTACAGAATAAATAATAATTTCAAAAATGCGCAGCATTTTTGAAATTATTATTTATTGTGTTTGTAGTACTTTTTACAAAGTGCATAAACAGTCTGGAGATAATATAAATCAACAACTCGATTCATTATAACCTAAACTTTAACTTCCCTAATCTAACCTACCTTCAAAGGACTTAATACAGTCACGAGTCCACATAACATCCAACCTACCAACCTCACATGTCTTTTTCAACTTATAAACAAATTTTAAACTGTACGAGAAGTTTGGTTAGGTTAGGTTAGGTTAGAATAGTGTCAATTTGTTGTTTATTCATTTTATTAAAACTTCCACTACACTAAATACTGATGGGACATAACGGTTAATGGTCAAAACCTAAGCTAAGCCATTCGGTTAATTAAGTGAAGAGAAGAACTAAATGAATTCCTTCTTCAATGTTCATAATCCAGTCCCCAGATCCAGATTAAATATGTCCGAACTAGAGGTGTTTATTAATGTTAATTAATTTTAATCAAATAATACATAAGTTATAGCCTACTTAAATTAACATAATTACCTTTCTAAGTGTGGGTTGTGAGGGTAATATTTATATTAAAATGGCATATAATCAATCAATAAAAATGTGAATTGTGCTATTAACTTCAATTATACAGTGTAAACATTGTAGTGCAGATTCAATGTTCCTAATATAAAACATTAAAATAAACTTCAAAAAATCGTAGTAAATTCAGTTTTTGTGGCAGCAGAAAAATTTTTGCACCATTATTTTCAGGTAAAAATCTAGTTTCTAATGATATATAACTTACTATAGAACGCTTGGTCACCCTCATCTAAATAATTACCCATAATTATAACAATTCAGTTCTAAGATAAATGACTTACTGTAGCTTAACTTAATCCTTACTAACCTAACTTCAAAACACTATTAAGTACAGCACCGAATTTGCCTAAAGCCCAACTTACCACCCTCACATGCCTTAATAGGGCAACCTTAAATGTAAATTTCAGGGTGAAAACGGTGTTTGCCGAAAAATTAATTAAAATTGCCTAATTTAGCCAATAAACAAAAAATTGCATGAGTAACTTAAGTTCATAATTTAAATTAAGCTTAGCGTTAATTCATTTAATTTTTTGTTTGATTTAGGTCTCATGATTTGTATTGGCTTTAGCCAGGCATATTAGTCTTAATTGAAAATAGGCCAAAACTGTAACATAGAAGTGTGATGCTAAAACTTTATCGTGCCAATGCCCATAAGGCTATGTAGATTTGTTATGTCTGGTGTTCAGCAAAATACTTGGCTCAGAAAAAAAAACCATATATAACTAGTGTTTTCATTAGTTTCAGAATGATAACCATAACACCGAACAGTCAGGCCTTCACTGTGCCGCCCCCGGCTGTAGGCAACATGGCTGTCCCCCCTCCCATGGGTCATCGCTACCCTCCACCCCACCAAGGGCAGCGGTTTGGACCTAGACACACGTTCTTTCAGCCATTCAGACCTTATGTGCGGGGAGTGGCTGCGCTTGACCCCGAATTTGATGGGAAACGCTTGAGGAAATCGGCTATGAGGAAAACTGTAGATTACAATTCTGCAATCATTAAAATGTTAGAAGTAAGTAAAGCTATATTAAGTCTCAATTGTGGATATTACTAGGTAGCGTTCGCAGAGGCATCCACAAAATTGAGCGGATTCATCAGCAAAACACAGTTCCATATATTGTTATTAACCTTCACCATCGAGCTTCATAATTATTTTTACGTGAAGAGAACATTTGTGTAAAGATAAATATTGGTGTAATTCGATTAGCTACACGTTGTTTCGTAATAAAGTGGAGTAGGCCTACTTAAAAAACACAGGGATATAATTTCAGGCATTTTCGGAGACCTGCATTTATTTACATTTTAATTTTTAACCCTCAGGGTTAGTCATCTGCTTAATCTAAAACAGGGAGGTACAGTTCTAGCTAGTTATAACCTAGATATCAACCCTTAATTACCGTTTCGGATTCTACTTCGGAATCCAGGGGTTGATACGAAGTTGTTCAACGGTTTTGACTGATTAAGCTATATCATCTTCACCTCCGTTTAAGTGTTTTTTTAGAACTTTTAGATCGACAGATGTAGGACAGACGAGTATTCTATCCTAGCCAATTAGAGAAATCTACTTGTGTTAATAGAAGTTCAGTATTTTTTAAGTTTAAAGTGAGGGAAATGAAAAAAAGAAGTAGTAAACAATAAAACACCATTCTCCGCTCAACTACTTTTCTCTGCTCTGGAAGCAGTCCTAGTTTATAATCTTAGGCGTATGTCTTAACGTCTTAATTCATAGTCATGATTTTTGTTTCAAGGCCCGTGTTTGGCAAAGGGACTTTAGAGACAGGAGAGCGCTGCAGCCTGATGTCCTGTATCTACCAGACATGCAACCTCCCCCTGCCTACGAGGACAACGCTATCAACGCTGTCACCACCAAGTTTGTGAAGGCCGCCACCAATAAGATGAGATGTCCGATCTTCTGTATGGCGTGGACTCCGGAGGGGCGTAGACTGGTCACTGGGGCCTCGTCTGGGGAGTTTACTCTCTGGAACGGACTTACGTTCAATTTTGAAACGATTTTACAGGTACCTTTGAAAGCTTTGAAACACTTCCCTAGAGTGTGGTAGAATGTTATTTTCTGTTCAGATTGAAATCCATAGCCACCCATTATTTGACTATAGAGAACAATAGTCAACTAAACTGAGATAGATTTCTTATATTTGTTTACATTACAACTAGAGTTTAAAGGAAGAAGTTGTTTCTTGTCAAAATAACAATGCCAAACTAGTGGGAGTCCTACCTAACAAGGGCGCCTGTAGGTAGTTATTTGGGAAGACAAAATTTCAAGGATTCAGGAGAAAAGCCCTCTTGCATTTTTAAAAGTTAGTTACATATTTAATTTATGAACATACCTACGTCTATGTAAACCACACAGATTTATTTTATAAGTATTGCTTTATCTAAAACCTTAGACATAGCTTTTTGATCTTTTTAAGGTTTTATCATAGGAGTCATTGCTTTTTGGCTGATTGAAAGACATTTTTCTGTTTGTTCCAACAACTTCAGTGGTACTTTTTCTTGTATCAACTCCCCTACGCTATAATAAAATATAAATCTCAAAGTTTCTGAAATTAGATGTTTTATAATAACTAGCTTATTACCATAATGTGGGTTACACGCTGGTCTCGCAGAAATTGAAAGAGACATGCATTTTTTTTGTGATTGTTTCTTTTTTACTTTTTTGAGACATTATACTGGGTCAATCGAATAGACTACAAAATGTGTTCAAAAGACAAGAAATTGTTGTCAATAGCTGACGGTGCAGGGTTTTAAATATGCTTGACCGATACAAACGTGGAGTAATCAAGCCAGTTTGATACACAACAACTTTACAATCTTAACTAAATAAATAAATGTCCAATAATCACATACTTTTCAAAAATATTTCACGATCAACTTAACATTATTATCAATAGGGGAAGCTTCCCTTGGTCCCCACCCTTTTTTTGCTTAATCTAAATATCAGCTGTCGGCTGTTGTTTTAAAGTTAGAGTTAGGTAGAGGGTAGAGGGGATGGAATCACTTCATCTCAAACCGCCTAAATTTTATGAACGAAGTATAACCACTGAAAACATGCTTTGTAGATGGCTGAATAACATCGTTGCTCGGGGGATCAGTGCCAGTGCGTATATGCACCAGGCCTTGTGTCATACGACATGTCGCACCAACCAACCAACCGGTGTGTATCCAGGCTAAATTAAGAACTGGAGACATATATTTTTAGGAAATTTTAGAAACATCCAACTGTAGCCAAAAAGTATTTTTATGAATCATGAATAATTATTTTACCACAGGATTCAATAAGCTTCAGCTTATTGCGGAACAATTGTGTACAACAATTCAAAGATGTTAGTAGACGTAGACTTTGGTAACTCAAGTGCATGTTTATTATTTGTTCCAGGCGCATGACAGTCCAGTAAGGACGATGGTGTGGTCTCACAACGACGTGTGGATGGTGACGGCCGACCACGCAGGCTACGTCAAGTATTGGCAGTCCAACATGAACAACGTCAAAATGTTTCTTGCGCACAAGGAGGCTATACGAGGCATCAGGTAGACTCCTCTTCTTCTTAACTCCATTTGTTACTGTATATTTTTGTATGAATAAAGATTTTATTTCCATCCTTATGTCGCTAGGAGCTCCGCTAAAGCAGGACAGGTGTTATTGTATATTGATTATTAAGTTGTATTGTTTTTGCCCTCAACATTTCAATAGTATCACATTTGGGCATTTATGTTTGAAGTTTCATCTTGGTGGGAGGTAACATGCTTCGGTTGTTCTCTCTTGGTATCTATTAAGACTTTTTTTTTTTTTTAGAAAAGCCAAGTTGCTGATTAGGAATTTTGAATAAGAGTTAACCTTGCTTACGAGAGAAAATTTAGAGTCTGCTTGATGGTTGCTCAATAAAAGGCTACAAAACATGAACATCACACTGATATTTCGTCCTAATATAGGACTTGTTCAGAGAGTATATTAAGAACATTTTAAATATCTTGGATCTAGTCTCTGAAGAAATCCTATTTGAGGATGATTATCATTGTTATTGTTATGCTTTGTATCATTTTATTGTAGGCTAATCAGCCTCTGGACTAATTCTCTTAGGTAAGCCAGCTCTATACCTTTCAAAATGCGGTACCGCATTTCCAATGTAGTGATTTTGATTTCAATAATTGTTTTATCGAATTCCGGTTCGAATAGTTGCAAAATGTTTCATCCTAATCTTAAATAAATATTAATTTTCTTGGTTTACATCCAATCTTTTAAGCAATTTCAATAGAATTATTCAAGAAGTTGAAACGTTTTAATTTAAGTAGTCTGAACAAACTGCAGGTGATTTATTGTCTAGCAACTTAGAAAATATTTTATTCTCGTGGTCTAGGCCTACTATTTTTGTATCTTGGAATAAATAAATCATCCTTCTCCTTTCCCTAGTCATACGATCTCGGGTCTTTTTAACAATTTTAACTGCATTTATTATTTTTAAGTTTACACATTTTCACTTAAGTCTCGAACTGAACAACCTACAAACAATTTGAGGGTGCTCGATTGTAGTAGCTGATAAAATTACACTTGTTTTACTCTCGTGGTCTATAGTTTTTGTATAGGAATAAATAAATATCCTTCTACTCTCCCTAGTCATATGATATAGTCTAGTATAGTACACATGTATACATGTCTGAACCTGTCTCCTTCCTCAATAAAGAGATCCTCCCTTCCACGACAGGTTGGTCTCGCTCGCGTAACAATAAAGTCGTAACAAAACCCCAGCGAGACAATTCTTATCTGTGATATTTCTGTGATGTTTTGTCCAGTATTTTAATATATATTTATATATTTAACTTTCTGTCTTGTCAACTTTTCTGGACAATAAAATTGTTTTAAATATGCGTTTGAATATTTTTAAACTGCACACCCCTTATCTAATCACATAAAAAGAGACTTTTACGTAAAATTATTTCTGAGATTAAATTTTGGCTATCAAATTAACTGGGTGTCCAGTACAATTTTGGAAATGTATTCATTTGATTGAAGATAATAAATTAACAAATTTCGCCAATGTTGTGTTTGAAAATAAAAATACTATTTACTTACTAAACGTCCATGTATAGGCCTAATCTTTTAAACAATTAATTATTTTTTACTACTTTGATTTGAAAAGCCAACATAAGTAACATTTGTTACTCTTTACCCAAGTTAAATATGATTCACACATTCTTTGTGTTTTTAGTTAGACTTAATGTCAATTGAAGCATGGATAAATAGACTCCCTTAGTAGATTTCTCATTCTTATCAAACAGTTGAAGCCAATTTTAATGTTAGTTCCGTCCGGTGGACTGTAGAGGTAAGGTTTTGTTTACAATTTGTTTCTTGTTATCTTAGTCATTTCCAATTGAAACCTCGTTTAACCAAATAAAATGATCTAATCATAAAAAATAACTCACTCTCTAGTTATATAACCAAACAACAGTAAAGCACAAATCATGAAATTAACCCCAAAATAATAGAAACAAGCAAATATAATTTTGTCGTCAATAGTGACCAGTGTCCGTACTTGAACTAGACAAGAAAAAAAGCTTTAAAATTTACAATGGGATGAGAAGTCTACTTGTGTTGATTAGTAAGTAACTTGTTTCGGTTTTTACAATTGATAATAGGAACTTTTATTCGTTATGTTTAAAAACTTTGTTTTTTGTTCAAGTTGGAAAACATCCTTTTATGAAAAAATGTTTAATCACCCCGATAATTTTGAATTGCCTGGGTGACTAAATTGTTGTCGTCCCTCTTTTGAACCAAATGCAAAACCATAGTTAAAGTGTTTAATACACAGTATTTACTGGCCACGATTTGTTATTGGACATCACATTAGGCCATAGAAATATTTCATAAACATTAGCAAACAACATTTGGCAATTTTGTTTTGATCCAATATTCTGTTTGATACATTTCATTTTATCAAACCGTTAAATTTGCTATCTCATTTACTGGAGTCAGAGCATCAATTATTAAGTATAATATTTTAAGGATCACGAGGAGGTTTTATTGAAATTAAATCTTTTGCCGTAATACTCATACTAACTAGTAGGTAGGTATTTTAATTCTTTTTGTATCCAACAAAAAGACCTTTGGGACTGAAGTGGGAATGTGGAAAACCAAATCCGTTCAGAAGTGCATCATTAAAATATAAAAATAAAACTTACATTTAGGTACCATTTTCGACAAGAATAATCATGGCTTCTTATAATTTAGAGTTGGAGCAAAAATAATAAGTATAAAATTTTGAAGACCACAAGATGGTTATATTTTATTGAAAGTTTTTAGGAGTTTTTGAAAATTAATGTTGCTGTAATGCTAATTTTGTTCTAACCAAAAAAGACAGTTAGGTCTTTGGATTTTAAATAAGAATATCTTAATGTGGAAAACCAAATCCATTCAGAAGTGTGACATTGAAATAGAAAAATAAAACTTAAATTTTGGTAATGTTTTCCACAAGAAAGACTTGAGGCAAAAATTAATTTCCATATAATTTCTAGTGCCTACCACTGAAGTTGTTGAAAAGTAACTGATGATTTTAGTTTGAAGGCATTCTAATTAATAGATTTTTATTATGCTGTCAAATAAAAATTAGTTAAGTATATTTTATTTCTTAATCCACAAAATTAGAAGCAATTGTGGAAAACTTATCTAGTTTTTTTTTATAAGTTAGTTGTAAACTTAGTCAAAAATAAATTACATGGTACATTATTTATACATTCTCACATTATCCTTGTTTTAATCAATAGTCGTACTTTCCTTTGTATAATTTGTCAGTGAGCATGTTTTGAGAGTAGGCCTGTCTGTAGTGTTCTGTAAGATAGGGGATAATATTACTAAGTTACATTTAACCAGAACAAAATTCGCCAAGACATCATTCATGAATGAATGTGTGACTTTTTTTAATAATCATTATTCTGTCAAAAGAACAGTTGGATTAATTATGGAACTATTATGTTCTGATTGTAGGCTTTTGCTTAGTCGTAGGCTACTATACTTTAAGGTGCTCCAGTAATAAAAAGTCCCATCTCCATCCATGTTTTTCCTTTGCATGAAATACATATTGAACAAATAACTGAGTAAAATACATTTTAAAATATTACTAGAGCTCGCCCTCCCCGTAGTTGAAAACTCAACCAAAAGTATGTATTGTGCAAAATTCTCTATTTCCACCCCACGCTGTAAATAAACATGTGATTGGAATTTCTTCCATTTGTTTTGATTTTCTATTTATATTTTGTTGTTATTTGTTACCCATAAGGCCCATGTTATTTTTTTAAATTTTAAAATCATATTTGGTGCTTATTTTTGAGCTTATTTTTATTTATAAAGGGATTCTGCACATCTTCAGGCAAATATATTTCTAACAGTATGGGTAGATTTTCCCTGTGATGCACAGGAGCTGAGAAAAAATATTTTCAATAAACATGCTTGTCTATTAATAAATAGAATTAGCCCCATGTTAAATCTCCATAAGAAAAGTTGAATTTCCATTTTTGACCCAATTAGCGTAAATATTCTCAAAATACAAATAAAACCTGCACATAGGCTTTAGAACCGATAACCTTTCTTTTGGTGCAACCTGCGTGTAATTCGGTCCAGTAGTATGTTGAGGCTAGCTGTCATAATTTTTTTTTAATATACCGGTAGGTTACAAGATACTTTTATTACAGTGTCTAATCCAATACTTTTCTCAAGAGCTAAAAATCCCAAAGTATTTTTTTTTTTAGTTGGTAGTTGTGTTCTGTATATTCTAAAAATTAATTATTTAACAGCTGTGTAATAAATATTTTGGATTCAACATTTTTTTTATTATTTCCACATAATTGTGTTAAAAGAATAGAAAATTGGTTATTATTACTTTCAGTTTATTGCAGGCCTGGTATTACGTTGCTATAAATTAAGTAACTATCAAAAGGTAAGTAATTTAGTCTAGTTAAATAATATAAACAAATAGGTAACCTGAATAATCGTTATCATGGTCATACAAGTGATAATGTTGCACCAATTAAGGGTAATGCAAGATGATCTCATGATATTTTTCAGAGGAATATTGAGCTGCCTATTCATTTATTATTTCAATTATACAGCCAAATCATACTCACCATTTCTTGTGTATTAAACGGCACTGAAAGTAAATCATCTACTAGTCATTCTACTTTATAAATACAAAGGTGATTGAGGATAAGAAATGGAACTGCTTTGCAGGCAACTGTGAGGAAGTTTTCCACTTCCCTCATCAGCATCACCTCACCGATATTATGTGACAGAGCTCAACTCAACCTACTCCAACATTTAATAATACTAGTTAGCATAAAAACTAAGGCCACAAAACAAAACAAAAATCAACATTGCACTGTTCACTTAAATGTTACCGAATGCTCCTAAATACCACATATAAGTAATAGTAAATTATAAATAACTTCACATACACAAAGTAACTCTCCTTCCCTGTAGATGCACTCCGAGTCTTTCATCAAAATTATCCATTACATTCCCTACAGTTTCCTTTGATTCAGTGGCGGACGTACCTACGGCGCTGCCCCTAGGCCCGTTTTGCCGGCCGCCCCTTTGTTTTTTGCGAAAAAGGAAAGAGTCTCTCTCTCTCAGGCTTTTCCTTTGACAGTTTGCGGAATGCTGCAACACTTAACTTTTTTTGTTTTTCACTCATTATTATTATTTTCTTCATGCATATTTACGAATTTAAAATGACTGAAAAAGTTAAACAATCAAAAGCGGTTCCAAAAAAGGTAGTGTTTTCATATAAATAAAATAAGTAGGGCCTGTTATTAATACATTTTAAATTTTAGATTAAATAAACATAATATATTGTTCTGCAAAAAAAAATTATGACTGCTTTTAACCCTTCCTGGACGGGTGACGGATTTATCGGCTTATGGTTTTTGATATTCCGGACCGGAAGCGGATATATCCGCCTTCTCTTTAGGCAGACTGGCAGGTGCTTGAGCAGTCTCCTCAGGAGTACCCCTCTCCCACATCACCCCCCCTCCAGCGCACCACCCACCTCTCCTACGCTCGCCCCTAAACGTTTCGTGCTCAACACTATGTTGTCTTTATTTATTGTTTACATATTGTTCTTTATTTATTGCCTAACGTTGTCATGTTTATATCTTCAAAGACAAGTTGCGGATATATCTGCTGCTTTTTTACTCATCCGCGGACGGGTAGAGGATATATCCGCATAGTTAAAAACAAGTAAAAAATTATTTTGACAGTATGAAGTGTTCCATTGTGTTTATTTTATGTATACTTGTAAAACAAAACACAAATAAGGAAAATTAATTTTTTTTTCTATCATTTTTTCCCGTTCTATGTCACAATTTCGCACGTCGGGGAAGGGTTAACACGTCCCCTGTATCATTACAAAAAAGTAATAAATAGGCCTATTTTTTATTGCCAATCAGTTATGAGTAGCATACTTTAATCAAGAATTAATAAAATGGACAAAATTTTAAACAATGACTTAACTATTTTCGCATGCAGTTAACAACAAAATTCACTATACTCTAAAATAACTTAGGCTTGAAAGATTTTAAATTTAACAATAAAAACTGCTAACAATAATTTTACTTAATATAACTGCCAAACTAGAAATACAACACAGGCACTGGAAATGACACACTGACAGTACTCGCTACTCGCAGTCCTATGTCTGCCTCTGTACGTCACGACATGAACGTGAGTCATCTTCACCGCTAGGCAACGATCACATAAGACCCATACGGTTTTTTCACGCACAAACGCAGTGGGTTTTTCCACAGTAGCGGGCGCCTATTCGTTTCAATGCTATAGTACTTTAATTTTAAGCTGTATTGTGCGTGGAAAAACACTCGTGTGGCCGCAGCCTAACCACCATGTGCCTGCCGCCGTGCTGCCCGCCACATGCCGCGGCCACGTGCCTTGTGTGCCTTATAGTAAATCCGCCACTGCTTTAATTACCATTCAGATTATTTAGTTTTGAAGCTTGTGTACATAGGTATTTGAGTACTCAAAAGAACAAGCACATGCTGAGATATCAAGCCTGGGAGTGCCCACTAAACGCAAGATTAAATGATGAGGGAACATCCATCTTAAACCACCCTTTGAATCATTGGCTGTGTTTTCCGCAGCCCAGTCCTGTTGAAACAACATAATTATCTTATTATTCCTATCACATAACTCCCACATCTAAAAGTTTCAATACCAAAAAGTCTACATAGGATGTTAGCATTATGTTGTGTTGCCAAATGGCAATGACTTAAGCACCACTTTCCTATAAAAAGGGCAAAAAACTCATTTAAGAATTTTCTAAATAACCCCTGAATGTTGACACCCAGTAGATTTACCACTGGTTACAGACCCTGTTGCCCGAAATTCAGTCACCTTATGAAATATTGAGTCAATCTTGCGCTTCACTAAGATGTCAAAACTGTTGTTAGACAGTTTAACAATATCTTATATTCCTGAAAAAAAAAATTCTGTAGGAAAATTACAGTGCTCTTTTGGCCCTTGCACTATCTCCCGGCTCATGAAATACTATGGTCGTCATTCAGATAATAGATAATAATAATTCAGGTAATAGACCCTACCCCTACCACTAGCATTACATCCTCTTTTTGTGTCCATGCGAGTGTCATTTTAAATGTAGGAATCACAAAACCCGTTTCGGAAAAGTGGTTAAAGCTCTCAAATTTTGAGGCATTTGGAGGTCGAGTAACGTCTGAGACGTTAACCACTAGGCTAGCAACCCTTTTCGTAATTGTAGATAAGGCCAAATTTCAAAATTTCTTTTAGCTTCAGTAAATTAAGAATATAAATTTTTCAGAGTATTGCTCATAAAAGAAGCAATAAGTTATCGTGAAAATCCAGTTTTCAATGTATTGTGCTAGATAGCTGGGCCATCTACAAATACCGGTTTGTACGAGGAGGGTTATCCTCAAATCAAGACCACCAACGAGCTCACACCGCAGCCAAGCAAGCAAGCTCAAATCTTCCTTCAAATTATCCTCTTCTATTCTTGCTGGGTATACGAAGTATGCAACAAACGATTAATTTTGTGGTCACACAAGTGGCCAATAACAATGTGAGGGAAAATGAACGCTCCCATTGATTTTCCCTCACTTAGTTTTTGGCTTCTGTGTATGGTGTCTTCACAGTTTAGAATAGTAGAGGGTGAAGTAAAGAATACAAGGCTGTTGTAAGATTTGAACCAGCTCGCTTGGCCACAACGGGACCTTGTTGGCCGTGATTTATCGAGAGCATGTTGGTGAGTGGGAAGGGGGAGGGGGAGATCAGTGACACAACTACAATTTAAATGTTGCTTCCTCAAGAGCAAGGCATCAACATTCTTGCAGTTTACTTTGAACTTAACTCGTAAATGATTGGTGAAAAAATTACTACTGTATTTATAAATAATAATTGAATAAACTATTGGCTTAAAACCAAATGAATATTATTAAAACCAAAGAGCTTCATAAATAATTAATATAGTTACACTGTTAACCTTCTTAATTGACAAGCTACTATGTTGTTAGTGCTTTAATAGGTGTCTTACAAGACTACATGAAAGCAATTATCACACCTCAAAACTCACTCCAATAACATTAGTATAAACATTTTGTTAGAAATCAATATCCTGTATGAAGTACCAACAAAATGTTGTATATTCACCGCAGAAGCCACTTGACAAGCATATTTTAATGAATTAGTATGTTTTACACCAAGGTAAAAATGTCAGTTTTTTCATCCATACACATTGAAGAGTGTTCAAACTCCTTTTAAGCATTTTTAACCGAATAAGCAAAATGTAACAGTACATTGAGTAAAAATATTTGATGTCATGGCTGCGAAGCCATGTTTTGTAACAGTCACCATTATTATATGTAGTTAAAACCAATGGTTCTGGAATAGGTGCGTGTTCAACTAAATTAGTCAGTAATAAAAGACGGTAAAGATAAAATTTCATGAGCTTTAAATAGCTATTTAGTTTGGGTAAAACAATTTGCTCCAACAGCCACGTGGTGTGGACAAAGTCTTATGGGCCCTGATCTTTGGCCATGTTAACTATACATCATTAGCCGTATACAAAAATTATCACCAATAATAATAATTACAACTAGTTCCCATGATAAAGAAAAACTAAAAAAATTATTTTTGTGGTATCATGAGATTTTGTTTGAGGTTACATGTACATACTTGGTATAGTCTTCTGTTTTGGCTATTCCTGGGTTTCAGTCTCTCTAACATTTACTTTCCCTTTACAATATGTCAACTCACTTCTTGCTTCTCCACATTCCCCTTTTTTTTTTTTTTTTCTCGTATCTACGCCAGTGGCATTTTTGTAATGAAGTATCAAGTCAAACACTTTTAAGGGAAAGCGGTCCAAACCCATTAAAGTTTTGTATGGGTCCTTCACCTCACTTATCACCCCTTTTCTAGGTCTTCCTCTCTTTGGCCTTCTTTCCATTTACTCCACTTTCCTTAAAATATATCTTTTCACATGTCCAAATCATCCTACTATTCCTCTTCAGCTGCCCTAAAAACTCTCCTGATCTCTTCATTCCGAACCATCCGACATTCGTCTCTTTTTTACTATATCCTTAGTTTTTTGCTTTGTGTTCCTATTTACTATTCCTATTTACATATTACAATTATTTAGATGCTTTGGAATGAAATACTTTGTGACTGAGATAAAATTTTCGGACTTTCAAATTAATATGCTTTAATTTACCTGACTGTTCGTCATCCAACTGATGTCTAAATGGCGACCGTTTTCAAGATAAAAATTTTACCAGGCTACAATTCAAAAGTCAGATTACTCATGTTAAGATTTTCGGTAAATACACAAAGGGTCACAATATACATAAAAGACAAAAGATCGGAAGGATGTTATAAACTACGAAAGGCCAAGACCACGCATCTCCGCCTCATCGTAGTGGCCAATTGTATATAATGTTCTTCCATTCTTTCGTGTTTTATGTTTGTGATAGCTTGTTTACCAAAGATCTCTTTTCAAGTATGTGACATTTGAAAATTGTAGTCTGATTATCTTTAAACCAGTCCCCATTTAAATGACGTTCCATAACCGACAGACAAGTAAATTAAACCATATTATTCAGCAAGTCATCCTGGGCCGCTTCTTACCTCTACAAATTAATGTACAGCAGCAATAGTTCTATGGTGGCACTGGTTGGCAGATCATTAAAGTTTGTTGCAAAGCATATTGGCTTCAATAATATGGGCACAATGACATCATATAAGTTTTTGTTTAATATTTTGTATGTAAACAACACATTGATGTTCAGTTTCAGCCCAAATGACAGCAAGTTTGCGACGTGCTCTGATGATGGAACTATCAGGATATGGGACTTCCAGCGATGTGCCGAGGAAAGAATACTAAGAGGCAAGTTATTAATTAACGATTGGTTGCATAACATCATTAACCAGATTACTTTGCAGTGGAAATTTGATGGTAAAAAAGTGATTTTTTGAATATGAAGGCCACAGGTTTATTTATAAGAAAGGTTTGAAGCTCTGTTTGATGGCTTTGACCAATAATTGAGAATGGAGCTCACTTTCTGCATTTGTCAGGCTTGTAATTAATGATTCTGAATAAAGCCTGATGATTTAGTTCTGAACATCATTCATTAAAATCTCATCTTAGCCTTGAACTACGCACCCTGTTGTGTCTTGTCGTAATATATCTGTCTCCATCTATCAAGGGTACACACTTAACCTCTTTCCTTCTGGTTATCTCGGGGTTTGGGGGCCAACTATGCCTATCCATCTTCTCCTATCCCTGAGCATGTCCCACCTCCACATCTCAATGGTGGATTCCGCTTTTTCCCCCTACTCTAGTTGTAATATCCCACCCAATGGTTTCATTACCTTACATAAACTACACCACCAACCTTAGTGGCTCCTCTTCCACCATCAATTTACCAAGTGTATTTATTTTAGTGCTTCGTATTCTGGAGGTTTTTGCTATATAGTTTGAGTTGCAGCATTGGTGCCTTAAAAATATACTGATAAGCGCTTCAAGATTTGGGACTCCCTAGCTCAAAAATTAATTCAGAAGAATATGTCAAAGTTTACTGTACACAACATGTTGCTATGGAAAGCATTTATTTACAGTCAAACAATTTAAGTGGAGCGGCAGACGAAGAGTATCTAATATCTGTTGATTTGGCTGAGGTTGTTTTATTGTTTTTGCTCCTTCTACAAATACACATAAACTTTTTTGATCATTTCGGTGAATTTTTTATGGTGTTAACCCATATTGTTACCGCGAATTAAAATAATTGTGGAGTAAACTATTTAAAATTGGTATTAAGTATGAAGATTGATTTAAATTACAAATTTTACATTTGAGATGTATCAAAAATTTGCTTTTCATAAAACTTTTTAATCACTACTTAGACAGTATGTGCCTGCCAACAAGGTTGATGGCTTGATTCCTGTAATTGATCCTGGACTCAGCAGCCACTTTGTCATTGGGCTATTACAGTAGAGTTGTGGTTACTCGACCTAAACCAGCCACAGAAGGGTCAGATAACATAAAGTTTCTCTGTGGTCAACTCTATTCAAGGTTTTAAGCTATTCTTATACCAAACCATCGGCTTTCTAATGTTTATAAACCAATATATAGCAAGTAATTTACAAAAATAAAAAAAATCACCACTATTGTATGTACAGTAAAATATAAGATAAAACAATACTGGTACAACTCAGCAACAGGTCTCCATTAGCACTGTGACGAACACTTTTGTTGAAGCAGAGAGAGTGAGTTGATGTGGAGTTGACCAACTGTGAGTAAACAATCAGGAAGTACAGTGAAGTGAGAATTTTAAAACAGATGACCGGGTAACCCAGACAAGTTATGTTTTCTAATGACAGCTCAATACTAGATACTGTAGTAACATAGCAAGAACCTTTTTGGATCTTACAAAGTCTTGCAAAATACCTCTAAAAATTGTCAGGGGTCTTTTCAAACCCTATTGAGTGTAAAATAAAATTCGTTCATTCTATTGGAAAACCCAAGTTAATCCAAGTATGAGTGAACAAATCCAACATGTTGAATAAACTCTCCAGCAACCTTTAAAACACTGGATCTTACCTCTGTCATTGACTATTGGATACTGAAGTAGACATCCCATCTTTAAGACAGCTGGCGCCAATTTCTTATTAAAAAAGAATTTAGTTGTATGAGCAAGTCACAGAATGTGCTAGTTTTGAAAGTTCAATTCTCTACCTTATTGTTTGTTGCCGACCAAGTTGATGGGTCATAACAGTTGCTTTGCTATAGCTCACAACTAGTCATTCCATTAGTTTAACTTGGTAAACAAGTTTGTGTATCCGACAGAAATTAGTAATTTAGATCAGCACAATCTGTCAGTGGCGCACATCAACTACACAATTTTGATTTTAAAAACTGGCGACAACTTTAATATGGGGATGGAATGTCTAGTTGTATACTTAATAGTCAAAGTTTCTGTCTACCAATTTGCCAATACATGTACCAATTGATTTGATTTCTATTGACTTAAGAACCATAACGGATCCAGAGGTATAGGGGCTAAAGCCCCTCCCTTGGACCCTGGAAAAATAAATTCATTTTGTCCTCTAAATGTATTGGAGTTTTTTCGTCACAGTTCTAGACGTTAAAAATGGCTTTAGAAAGCCACCAAATTGCTTTTAAAATACCAAATTTGCTTCTTGGGGGTGTGACTTGTGAGGCCGCCACTACGATCGCTCGCGCAGCGGCGACGCTACTCTCTCTCTCTCTCTCTCTCCAAGCTGATTCTTTGTCTCATTCTCTCTCTCTCACTCAGTCAGCTCACTTGGCCACGCGCTCGCAATAGTCTACCGCTACGTGAACTATCCGAAATTCAAATATTTCCAGACTGAATTTTTTATAAAGGCGCTTCTTAAAGGGTTTGTATTCATTTCCCCAATAGACCCAAGACAAGGTCCTAGAACCGCCACTGCTAGAGAATGGTGTGAAGACTTTATTTCATCATAGGCTTTGGTCTGATACGTTCTTGCAAAAAGAATAGGTTGTATTATGTACGCATATTAGAATGAACATGTTTGTAGGTCACGGAGCAGATGTCAAGTGTGTCCACTGGCATCCTCAGAAGGGACTGATTGTTTCTGGCAGCAAAGACAACCAACAACCTGTCAAACTGTGGGACCCCAAGACCGGGCAATCATTGGCTACGTTGTGAGTTCTGAAAAAGTGTACAACTACTACATGCTTTTGGTTGACCATTGTTGTTTAGTGTGAGGTTAACCTGCTTGTGGCAAAACTATTAAGGAAGGTCCAACATTTTTAAAAGGCTAATAACATTAAGCGTGTTTACCTACTTATGTTTAAAGTTTTTGTCCTATCAAGGTCAAGCAGTCTAGTGTCCACAGAAATTTTAATAGGATTTGATTTACATTGGGATACTGATTGAGTTTGGTATTTCTTATGTAGCTGAAATTTGGAACTTTTTTAACATTACAAAACTACCATAGCCCTTATTGCTTTTACGGTAGAAATCCTCATTTTAAGCTACATCAGATTCGATCCTAAACCAGATTGACCAAGTGACATCAAAAAAAGCAATTTAACTCCATTTAACCTTGTGTAATTTGTTTATTTCTTTTAAAAGAGGTTAAAATCTTATTTTAGCTTATTTTTTAAATAACCCATGTAATTCAAGTCTTAAGATACTACCAAGGTAATTTAAGCTTGTCTAAACGCTAGACAACTCAACCAGAGCAGTAGTGTTTTTAGTTTAACATAAAATAAATTTGGATGGTTTGTAAATTGATTTTGTATGCTACGTCAGAAACTGGCTTGTGAGATGTGCTATAGTCTTTCCATTGTGTGCCATAAGAAATACATTTTATTTTTGAGTTCCAACAAGGGATCAGAAAAGCTAAGGCAAAAACAAAGGTTCTACTGTATCTCTATAGCCTTTAATCAAATCATAGTTGTGCAACATAATCTCCATTCATGGGAATTTCATGTCACTCCTGTGTCTTGAAAACTGGTTTGAAATTAAAATTAACAGTTTCTGTTGAAGAAGTTTATGTCTAAGTGAAATGTTTTCTCATCTCACAGACACGCACACAAGTCCACTGTGATGGACGTCAAGTGGAACAACAATGGTAACTGGCTAATCACTGCGTCTCGGGACCACCTGCTCAAGTTGTTTGATGTGCGCAACCTGTCCATGGAGGTACGATTTTAGTTATATTACACAGGTTTCACCATAGATTAAAATACTACATGCCAGCTGCAGACAGTTTTAATTTTAGTTCAGTCAGGCCCATGCAAAGGTGTGTCATTTATTCTTCCTTCCTTTTTATTCAACCAATTTTAAAACACATTTGAACTGAATTTAACAATTTATTTGTAAAATTTTGTGGGTAACTAAAGAATAAATCATGGATTGTAAAATCCATCCTAAATAGAGGGAATCATTTAGTCGACATTAGCACACTAAATCACCACATTGTGTGTCCCAGTTGTGTTCTTATCATGGTTAGTATTGGTAATGGTCATAGAGAGAAATGTGTTAACTCTTATGGACTGCCTTTAATAAAGGAAAGTATTCCCCAACCAATTCCTAATGTACCTACCTGATTTCCTTTATTATTTCCAGAATACTTTGTAACTTGACCAATGAATTTTTTATGTTCAGGTGCAGACATTCAGAGGTCACAAAAAGGAGAGCAGTTCTGTAGCGTGGCATCCCTACCATGAGGGACTGTTTTGTAGTGGAGGCTCTGATGGAGCTATACTATTCTGGCATGTCGGGTCTGTATTTGTATTTTATATTGTGTGTTTTGTTTTGAATGCAAGTATAGTAGGGGTTAGGGCCCTCTTAACCAACCTTGCATTAATCGATAATCAGATTATCCGTCCTCGCTCGTAAAATATTACTGTTTTTTTTACCGACTGTGTTTTGAGAGCAGTTTGGTTTAGCAGCCGCTTATCTCGACATTTCTGCTCCTACGCTCAGCAGTGGCAACAATAAACTAAACTCTTTATTTTGGCGTAAACGTAGACATGTTGCTGAATAGATGAGAATGGCATGATCTTGTATTTATTGTTGCAATAATGGCAATTTTACTTTTTTGGCATTTTTATTGTCATTTGCAATGGTAATCTAGACTTCATTGTATAAGGGAGTAAAAATTAAAAGCCAATCCTGTATATGTGGTAACTTTAATATTGCTGTGTAGGGCTGACAAGGAGGTAGGTGCCATAGAACAGGCTCACGACAGCATTGTGTGGACACTGGCCTGGCACCCGCTGGGCCACATACTTTGTAGTGGCAGCAACGATCACTCCAGCAAGTTCTGGACCCGCAACAGGCCCGGGGACGCAATGAGAGACAAGTACAACCTCAACACTTTACCTGCCAACATGAGTGGGCTGGACGACGGCGAACTGGGTGAGGGAGCTGACTTAACTGACACTTTTCAGTCTAAATTGGTTAAAAACTACATCCGTATCAATTGGGACCGTACCACATTCGGATAGTAAAAAAACTAAGATAGTTGGGGGTTTTACCAAAATTTGGTGTACTGATATTTGATACACTTTGTGGAAGACGATGATGACATTTTTGTGACCGCAGGATACATTGATGTGTGTTTCCGTGACTGCAGATGATGATGATGTCTACAAGGACAGGTGATATTCAAGATTTTTCGCGATTACAGAAGACGGTGTCCAGCCGACCTGGTAACAGGGAAAACGGGGAATTGTACGTGAATTTTGATGACCTAGTTTGACTCTTTTTTTAATGGTATTCCCTTTATCCACTAAATCGGCTATTTTCAGACTTGACTCAGTAATCGTTTTGAATTAGCAAGCGTCAAGTCCAAATGTTAATTATAACTTGAAATACGTTATTAAAACACCTGATGTTATAACTGTTTAGTATCATGGCCATGGTTATGTTGACAGATGACCTGAGTGTAATCCCAGGCATGGGTCCGGAAGACAAAGTAGAATTGTTGAGCACTGCTGTAGATCAGGAAGGCAAGATACCCGGACTGGACATTGACTCCACCGACGAGAAGTCTAAGGTCATCCTTAAAAAGGTACTCATACAACAATCAATAATATCATTACTTAGGTGTGAATAAATTTGGATGTGAAGTGAATACATTTGGGTGTATTGCTAGCCTAGTCAGGCTAGGCTCCGGTGTAAAAGGGATAGATTCATCCCTCGATATATTTAAAATCAAAAAAGTTCGAGGGTTTGGACTGCTCCCTTTCTAAAGCAATTGTATTAAATTAAAATTGGCACTAGTGTAGAAACTAAAAAAACTCAACAATTTTTTTATATCTGTAACTGATTTAAAAAAAATCCTCTTATATGTTAGTGAAGAAGATAAACCTATTCATACAGAATAGTAGATTTTATTTAAGGCAGGTCCGCACATGCTTAATTTGCCAAGTGCTGAATATTTTACAAGTGCAAACTTCTTGAGTTAATATTTGCTGATATCCAAGATCACACATTTGTCATTTTCCGAGCAATCTGTTTTATGAGAATGTAAAATATTTGTACAATGTGATTTCAACGCAGAGAGAGAAACGGCAATTGTTGGCAATTGCTAAATTACAAGTAGACAAACACCCTTTCATGCTTTTGTGTTTAGGCAAGTACAGACCTGCCTTTAGGAATTTTACCAAACCAATGCTCGAAGAACAAATATCTTAAATAATGTTGTCTTGTTTCAGGTTCCATATTCTAAGCCGATTCCCAAGAACTTCCAAGCTCACTGGACCAATGCTACAGTTGGAGATGGTGTGGTGACATTTTTTGTAGTTTTCTAAAGGATTACTAAAATAAGACCCATAAAAGTGATCAATTTGTTAAGAGAAGTCGCCACTTTGGGCCATACATAGTAGTAACTACTGTTTCTTGCACTTGAGGATTTCAATTTACGAGAAACTCTTATGAATCCAGTTCAATCCTTAGCAAAAACTAGTTTTTTTAAGTTCTTGTTTTTAAAATTTTTATGGATCCTAAAATTTGGTTTTTACAGTTTTAACGGTTATTCAGCTCAATAATACTGTGATTTTAATGTTTACTAGCTGCTATGTCCATGCATTGCAAGGGGAAGAAAACTCATAAAAGAATAATGCTGTTCTATGAATCTACTGTATGATATAGTTGCACATTCTTTATTATTGAAACAAAACATTATTTTACCACTTAGTGTGGTAATTTTTTTTTTTTTCATTAGGTCTAGTCCTTTTGCTCATATTTTTTCCTTCTGTTCCAATTCTTATTCCCACATATGAGATCTCCTTATAACTATCACTGACTGCCTTCTTAAGGTCAAATTTTCTCCCCCTCAAAACACTTGTGTATTGCAATATTTTGTCAACTGTTTTATATAGTTTTTTTTTGTTACTTTAAATTACAAGATTTTACAACTCCTGTTATAAAACTCAGTATAGCTACTGATGTTTATTCAATTAGACAAACTGTTTGTGGAATCGATTTATCGTGTTACTCATTGGCTCCTATTGTTTTGTTTGTTTCATTTTAATCACCATCCTCTTATTATTGGTTTAGATTCTCCTTGTATTTGTCAATTTTATCTATATCCCTTTTGTTTCTTTGGATTATTCTATAATTTTGAGTATTAGGTTTACCACCCACCCTTAGTTTGATTTTCCATGTATGGTTTCTTTTCTCTCCTGATTTCTCTTTCCTGCTGATGTTAATAACTATCCATGTACCTTTCCCAAAAATGTGAATTCATAGTTTCATGTTCAAATGTCTTATTCTCGTTTTGTTTTATTTATCCAATTCGCTCCCAATATTCTCCTTTTCCCTATCTGTCTTCCTAACAGCAATAATTCAATGCCTTGGACTGAGTACAAAGGTTTTCACAGATGACAAAGACGGATTCGACCCTATTGAATTGATTAATCAGCTGATAGTCAACCAGCCTGGAGTAATTCCTCTTGCTGATATTGAGCCAGAAAAGTTGATTATTTATGGACAGGAAATTCCATTGAAACGTAAGTACTTCCTGAGCGATTTTCAGTGTCATTGGAAGTCTTATGTCTGCATGTTGGTGGTAGTCGTCTTACCTTTTTCTTCCACTTTGCTAGGTGCACGGTATGTGTTATATTATTCACCACACAAACAAAATTAATAGTTAGGTGATATTTTGTTCCTCTCTGGCTTAATTAATTATCCTTTAGAGTTTAGATTGGAAAAATTGTTGTTGGGAAGTAGAATTACTTGAATAACCTTCAAACCCCTCCTCCCCAGTTTCCAAGGAGTAATTTGGAGTTTGGGAATAAACCAAAGGACTCTAAGAGAAACTTTAATTATGAGGATAAGGATACAAGGGGATACGTTTTTGGCATGTAATGTTCAACAGACTTCCGTTTAGTTTATCATCCACCTGGGTGCAAGAGAGTCAGGCCCTGACTTTTGAAGAATACAAATACTGTAGGCCTGCATATGCGATATTTTGTGCTTGAATCAGTAAACAGTATAAAAGTACTATCACAATGTCTATGCAGCTAATCTGGTGAAGGATTGCTTTTTTGTCAATAATTGAATACAACAGGAGCTTCTAGTAGAATGAAGAGGAAATGAGGAGGTAGAGAATGGGAGAATATACTGCGAAGAAGAGAGGAGACAGTACCAATCTTACGGAAAATTCCCTTTTGAATCAAGAAGAGGCAATGGTAGACTTGTGGCTTTGACAAAGATAGGAGGATGATGGGAAGGGGTAGGGTAGGTTTAAGCTTAAGCAGGTTCTGTCCCAGAGAATGAGTACCTTAACAAAAATACGGTTCACAGTGTAAACAAGGTTTTGAACCTTACTACACACGGGGAATTTCTCTGAAACGTAAGTACAAGACTTCATGGTTATTGAAGCTTCATGTCTGCATGTTGGTGGTAGTTGTTGTCTTGTTTCTTCTACAATCTTTGCCAGATGCACGCTAGCTATATGTTTAATTTTTACCCCACAAACTAATAGTAAACATCGTTTAATAGTTGGTTTATGATTGGTTTTGCATGTCCTCGTTAACCTTAATGTTGAATACTTGACTGAATTGTAAATCTTTTGTCGTAATTATAATTTTTAAGTTTTTAAATATATATTTAATAAACCTAGCTTTAATGCTGACCATGTCTTTTGCATTTTGACTAATCAAGGTGAAAACGTACATTGTCAGACAATCCTTAACATGTACTGTAGCGTCAAATTTTACTTGCTACATATGTTTCGGCAATTCTTTAACCCCACTATTGTCAGGGTTACAAAAGGATCCACTTCTGCAGGTATCGTCAGAATACATAACAAACATTTAACACAAAACAATTACAGAAAGGCACTACAGTACATGTTAAGGATTGTCTGACAAGGTACGTTTTTACCATTATCAGTCATTAATACCCCCGCCGCAGCAAACCTGAAGACTAAGCGAATTTCCTACATGTATATTTCCTAACGCTTCAATATACTAAATGATTTGTTTTTTTAAGCTCTACAAAATGGGTTGGAAAGAAATTGTGAAATTTTGTGTTTTTGGGATCAAAAATGGGAAAAACCTATTTTTACCCCATAAAACCCCCCATAAACCCCCGTTTCCATAGTCCGATCATGCTGGTTTGTGAACTCGTTCGAATAAATGTAGGTTTACATGTTTATACCAAATTTCATCAAAATTGGATATTTATATATATATATATATATGTACCGGTATATGAATTTGAACGGATAGTGTTTTTGGCCTCTAAGGACCTCAAAACAAAAAAGTAAATCAGTCCCGGGTTCAGGTTTTACCATGAGTACTATGGTAATAGCTAATTCCCTATATGGGAAATTCGCTAAAAGCAATCCTGGGGCTATCAAAATGAATTATATTGCATTTTGGTGTTAACGACTAGACTATAAATGATTCTTATTCTGATATTTTTTTAAATATGACTCATTTCTCATTGAGCCAAAAACATTATTTTAAGAGGAAACAGCCTGAAGCTTTTTTAAAAGGTCACCAATTAAGTAGTTGTTGCAACCAACACAGCTGTTTAAAAAAATATGTTTCAAATAACTATCCTCTGCATTCTAAGATATTAGCAATAGCTGTTTGACTTTAATGTTTTTGCAGACCATTAAAATCTTATTAATATTTTATGAAAATCATGTATGTTTTCTAGCGGATGAGGATCTGACAAACGCTATCAAGAAGGGATCCGAGGCATTGGCTAGATACATCAACTCTGGGGCTGTGGAGGAACTCAACGAGGTCCGACCTTACATTGACCTCGACGACGAGGTGCCTAAAACTGAGGTGGACCCTGAGGATCAGGACTCCAACATGGTACAACTGAAAATCTTTTTAGAAATGTACTTTTAAAGATCATGTTAGATTTTTTTTTCTATCCCATGCATTAGTATTTAGTATACAGAGCCCAAAAACACTTCTGTGACTCAAATTGAGTCTGAAACCTTTAATAGTTATTTTATCAACTGTATTGATGAAATTAAAAAGGAAATTGGGAATAGCCCTAATATAAATAGTCAATCAAGCTCTAAGTTTCTAAACAGAAGAAAAATTGACAGTCTCATCACCTTCTCTTGGCAGAAAATCACACCTAGAGATGTCTTAAATGCAGCTAAAAAGATGAATAGATCAGATAGTCGTGACATTTATAATTTATCAAACAATTTATTGAAAAACATAGTACATAGTTTGGCAGAGCCTCTTGCCTACTGTATAAACTGCCTGTTAAATAAAGGGATTTTTCCAAATATTCTTAAAATTTCTAGAGTCCGTCCCATCTACAAAAGAGGTCCAAAAGACCAACCAAACAGTTATCGACCAGTATCGGTCATACCTGTTATTGGAAAACTAATAGAAATATTAATTTATGATCAAATTTATACTTTTCTAGAAAACAACAATATATTGAGTAACCATCAGTTTGGTTTTAGAAGGAATAAATCCACGGTTGATGCTCTAGATAGCTTAATAAGAAAAATAATATCGGCATTTGAAAATAAAGATTTAGCTCAGGTCACATTATGCGACCTTAGCAAAGCATTTGATTGCGTGGATCAAGATAAATTAAATACAAAATTAAATTATTATGGATTCCGAGGGGTAACACTAGATTTCTTCAAATCATATCTTAGTAATCGGAAGCAAACTGTGCTGGTTAATGGACAATGGTCTAATGAGGTTACAGTAAGATGGGGCGTTCCACAGGGTTCAGTCCTAGGGCCTCTCCTTTTTCTAATTTATGTAAATGACTTACCATTTGCGGTAGATTCTAATATTACACTTTATGCAGATGATACAACCTTCTTTAATTCTAATAACAATATTAATGATCTAAATAAATTAGTCACAAAAACAATGTCTCAGGCTTCTGATTGGTTTCAATGCAATGGACTTCTGCTCAATACAGATAAAACACAAAATTTGCTTTTTAGTTTAAAAAACAACCCAAATAATTTTAATCTTGATTTAGTCACAAATGCTAAATTTCTAGGTATTTATTTAGACAATCATTTAACTTGGAGCTCACATATAGATTACATTAGTACGAGACTATCAAGAGTAATATATCTTATGAGACGCCTTATAAACATTATTCCTAAAAATTACATCAGAAGTGCGTACTTTTCCTTTTTTGAATCTATCATTCGATACGGTTTAATACTGTGGGGAAACTGCTCAGGAATTCAGGACATTTTACTGCTCCAAAAGAAGGTGATTAGAATTATGGCTGGAGTACATTTTAGGGAACATTGCAAACCACTTTTTAGGCAGCTTCAGATTTTAACCGTCATAGACTTATATATTTTTGAAATTGCAGTTTATATATTAAAAAACTCTCATCTATTAAAATTCAAAGACAAAATTCATAATTATAATACCCGAAACAAAACTAAAGCAGTGATTCAATATTGTCGCTTAACTAAATCGTTGGATAGCCATGTGGTGATATCTTTAAAAATTTACAATATCTTTGAGCCTATGATTAGAAAATATTCAATAAATCAATTTAAAAACAAACTCTATAATTGGTTACTAGATAACCCATTTTATACATTAGATGACTTTTTAAAAATTGGTGAAATCAAATTTTAACATAATGTAATCTTTGCACTTATTTTATTTTATTATTATTATTATTTATGTTATTACTATTATCTTCTAATATTATTATATTGTATTTTACATGAGATTTTTAGAGGTATTTAAAATTTAGTTTCTTAAATGATTTACACAAATTTGTCTAACTTCTTTGATTGCTTGACAAAAAAAAAAAAAACTTGAAAAAAACTTTTGTTTGTATTTAATTACTGTTGTTGGAATTTAACTATTCCTAATTAATATTATTTCATTATTTTTTTTTTTCCTACATTTTAAGAAATTTACTAAGCTCTCAAATGTTTTTATGTTTTATTAATAGATAGCGTAAAAGGAAAAAAGTTAAGTTAATTTATCATTTTAATTTTTACATCCTCTAGATACTTAGATGTGTAGTATGTATGTATATGACGTAGGCCTATTCATAGGCTGATGTGTTGACTTTGTCAATGATTTGTAAAAATCCGAAAGACAAATAAATGATATGATTTGATTTGATTTGATTTGATATAAGCATTATTTCACTGCAACGTGATTGAAGTTGTTCACTTTTTTACAGATCAACTAAGACAATGATTAAATTCTGATAGGAATCTTTATTTTTGAGCTTTTGATATTGAATAGTCTTTGGAAGAATTCTAGGATCATTGAGAACTTTGTAATCTTCCTCCCAGAGTTCTTAATTTTTATTTACAATATTAATGTGACATGTGTGGAGAAGCATGAATCCATGCAGTTCTGATATCAGCAAAATCTTCCTTCATTCACAACTAAATATTTGACTAAGCCTATAAATTATATTTCACTGGTTACAGGCAGACAAGGATGACGACGACAGCCAAAATGATGACTCTCAGAATTCTCATGGTAACCTAGGTAAGTGTTTTACTAATTTAGCAATCTTGCTGTTGAATCATAATTAAACTCAAGCAAGACTATTTGATAGAAATTAGAAACTTTTTTTGACTTTGTACCCCATGGTTTGAAACAAATAAAAGAGCTTTGTTATCTCCAGGTAAAAAAGATATTTTTAATGTTTAAAAAATCTTTGTTGGGAGATAAATAATCTATACCCAACTGGAGTGAAAGCAACCATGTAATTAAGCAACATTTCGTATTTTAATATAGCCTTTTTAAGTACATTCCTTGCAGGTAACCAAGACCAAGACATGAGGCAGCTGGTGATGCAGCCTCCGCCCAACTTCATGGGGATGGAGAACCAGAGGATGCCCCCGCCACCTCCATCTGGCCCCCCAGATATGTTCCGTCACCCGGGGCCAGACAACTTCCGGCCCAACTTCCCCCCAGACATGGGAGGACACATGCAGAACCAGTTCATGCGACCACCAGGACCACCTAGGGACTTCAGCCGGCCTCCACAAGACATGTTCAGGGGTCCAAGCGATGGACAGTTCAACGACGGGGGCAGAAACCGCAATGATAATTTCCATATGGACTTTAACATGCAAAATCCACCTCCTCAGTTTCGTGGGAGAAACCAGGGGTTCGGGAACGACCAAGAGGACTCTAGGAGGAATTTCAACCAGGAGGATGAGGATATGAGGGGGTACGGAAATGGAGGGTACGAAGGAAACGGTGGATACGAAGAGGAAGAGGAAGGGGAGTGGGCTCCTGAAGAACAATACAACAACAGGAGCTACGAGTGGAATGAGGAGGGGATGGAGGAAGGGGAAGAAGGGGAAGAGGAGTACCGGGGGGGAGAGAGGAGGCAGTACCAACCTTACCAGAAGAAATTCCCTCGTGGACCTCGAGGAGGGAACAGAGGTAGTCCGCGAGGTAGGGGTGGCTTTGACAGAGGGCGGAGGATGAGGGGAAGGGGCAGGGGAGGGGGAGGCTCAAGCTCAAGAGGGTTCCGTCCCAGAGGACGAGGGCCTCGGAGATAATAACGTAGGAAAAGTGTGAATGGTAATAACGGTTGATACTATAAACTGTGGTTTTAAAGTGTTCCATACACCTTTTGTAAATATTTTCTCCGCTAGTATTAAGCCTGCATTCCTTTTGTGGTATTTTGTTGTGATTTTTTTCTTAATTAGATTATCTAAAGTGATTACCATTGCAAGTATCAGTTTTTTTATCATGGCTACTTTTTATGGCAGTATAATCATGGGGATTCAAAGAAATGAAGTGGTTGAGAATGCATTATTTTTGTTTTGAATTATTTTAATTCTCAGCCTAAATGGCAATTCCTAAATCATTGTTTGTTGATCCTTAATCATTGTTGATTGATCATAAGTTTTGTAGACCGAACCTGAAAGATCAAAAGGTCTCAAATGTGTTTAATATTTATTTGGCAAAGATGTAGGTTTATACAAATACATCCTCAAATGTTTATGAAATTTGAAATTTTAAACGTAAAAATCTAAATATTATTGGTGCTAATGTTCAGGATTAATTTTGTGCTAATTTAACTTTTTTATCGCCCAGTTGATTACTATTTTTGTTATAACGTACTAAAAAATAATTAAATGTGCAAAACATTAATAGAATTTTTTAGCTGTTAACGTTCTGTTTTAAAAGGTTAATTTTCCGTCAAATTAAAATATCATCAATATTTCACTTTACAACATCTTTATTTGTTGATGATTATTGATACCATTGATGTTTAAGCATACTTTGACACTATTTTTAATTTCAAAATAACATGTAAAACCTTGGACCAACCACAAAAAAGCAAAGCATTTTAACCCTTTATGAAAGTGTTAAGAATGTACATTGTCTTCCCATTTTGTGATGAAGAAATTATAAAAAGCTCATGTGTCTGTCAATGGATTAGGATAATTCTTTAATTGTATCCCCATTCTGTACCTTTAAAATAGTTTTTTTTTCGCAAATTATTATAATGCAATTTATTATGTCAATCTATTACTGATTCTTAATATTGATTTAATTCTGTGGTATGGAGAATCAATCCATCCCCAATGTTTTGTATTTTGAAATGGTCTATTAATTAATAAACATTGCTAATTTTTCAGTAAGCTAGAATTACTGCAAGTTAGTCTAATTTTTAATAAAATATTCCTGAGGTTGCAAGGGAAGTTCAAATACCTATCACAAAAATGTTATTTCTTAAGTAAGTTAACATTTACATAACAAGGTCTTGGAGACTTTTCGAGCATTAACACTTTAATTGGGGGTGTCCCAAGTCCCATTTTTTAAAATTTTGGTAGTAAGCCTACTGTATTTTTTGTTGCAATAACACTATATTGCAGCAATTGTGTCAAGTACCTTCATTTTATTATGATATTCGCCTTTTATAGAATATAAATTAATAATTTACAGTAGAACTGTGTCAAAAATTTCTATCTTAAATTTGTACATGGGATTTTTATCTTATCTCAACATAAACAAATTAAAAAATAAATAAACAGTATTGATTTTTTAATATTTGAATTTTAAATTTGTTAGTCTTTTAACTTTAGTTTTAACCTGATCCTAGTAATTTGAACTGGCTTCTTATTCAATTTTGAATCTGTTAAGCAAATTATTTTAGTTTGATGTATTTAGACCTAGGTCTTAAAAAGTTATGTGTACTATAAGAACATTATTTGTTGATTGAATGTTTGTATAAAAAATGTATTTGCATGGAAGTTTGTATGATCAATACAGTTGTAAGTTGATTTTGTGAAGATAATAATTACTTTTAAAGATGTATTTGGACTTAAAAATATGATAATTGTAAATATACCTGAATATACCAGTTATACTGAGGGTAAAAAGAATTGCGGATTCATCATGTGTGTGCCTTCACCTGTTTATATCCTTCCTTAATAACTTTCAGCTTGACTTCTTGGACTTCTCTTTCAGCAGCTTCTCTTCAATTGTAAGTTAAATTCTTTACTTAAGCTATGACAAAATATCATTGCGTTAACTACCTTAATTAACTACTGATCTTGACATAAAATGAATTATTGGGAAATAAAATATATTAGGTAACTGGAAAAAGCATGTTTAATAATAATGGGAAATGATTAAAATAATTTCTTAACCCTTCTTAGGTTTATGGAGATATAACGGCTATCATTAGTAACATAACAAAACCTTTACTAACTATTTATGCAAGCATAATTTATTGGTATCAGATGGGTACGCGAAATTGGCCAACTCCAAAACCCGCTCGAGAGCCGGATTAGTGAAATCCACCCGAGTACAGAACTGGCGAACTACAGATAGCCCATGCCATCCAATGGGAGCCAAGCACGATAAATATTGACTATTATTGCCGAGAGTATTGCACTTACATTCTTATTCGTACTACAATGTCGTAACATAAAATTATTATAGCAGTATGAGCAATATATATATTTAAAAAATACATTAAATGTAGATTTAGATGTACGTTTATTGCTATTATTGTCATGATTAGTATTATAATTTGCTTGGAATACCATATGCTTATTTGAATATCAGTTTATGCGTGTTTAAATAGATAGTGCATTTTTGGATCTTTTACGGCTTATGAAATATCTATTTTTATAAGGCTTTAACCCTCCGAGTGTCACGTGTTTTGGCCTTAATGTCAGCCTATTTTTTGCTCATTTGCAAGGTTTTATTAAAACTGATCTGAGAAGCTTAAAAACAATGTTAATTATACTGTTCTATATACCATTTTGTTTGGAAAATCTTGGGCTTCAATATTATATATAAAACATAAGGAAGATTAAAAAAAAAAATTTTTTTAGGTAAAAAAATGTATAATTTCGAAAATTTTCAAAAAAAAAATAAGTTTGCGCTCAATGAAATTGTATAAATTATAGGCCTATAAATATTTGAAAATAGCCACTTTGTTCTAAATTTTATGAGGATTACAAATCTATAATAATATAAGGAAGTAGATTTGCAAATAAAAAAGTTATGGGCAAAAAACAGATTTCAGTACATAGCGTTTAGCTAAGAATGCATAGCCCAACCATAGCTAGGAATCTGGCTGATAATTTACATCAATATCACTACCTACTTCTTCAGGATCATCAACCAGCACTTCAAAACCACTTAAATCTTCTTATAATGCACCACGTATATCACTACTTTTGATTTTTAACACTAAAACAATGATAAACGTAATAAAACACATCAGTCATCGGTCCGAGGGTAACCTAGCTGTTTACAAATACACGCACGTCAACTCAGTCAGCTGTCTGCTACAATATTTTCGGAACTAAAATGAATAGTGCTTAGAGACAGACCTCTGCAGAAAGCTTAGAATATTACGGACAGAACGATACCTAACTCAATCCAGTACAGTCCGATTCAGTTAGTCATAGAGCCTTCGCCGTAAACAGTGTTCGCGAGTCGCTGCAGCGACGCACGACACTATACAAAGTGCGTTACGCGTCGCTGCAGCGACGCATGACACTCGGAGGGTTATGTTGTTTATTTGACAATATTTGCTAACTGCTGCATTTAAATATTATTAAGTTCTTATTTTGGAGACTAGCCATTAAACCTTGAATGCTTGTCCTTGATATTATATTAGTCTTTTTAACTATGTCTATATACTATCGTGTGAGCGTAGGTTTTTTTATGGGTACATTATTTACCTTTAACACCTACCTTTTTCAGTTCACAGAAATCTGAAAGTGTAACAATGTGTTACACCTTTGTGCATTAAGTTAAACCATCAAGTTATTGGTTGTTAAATAATATTACGAACTACATACAAGAGACCTCAGAATAAACCTTAGTGTGGTAGAAAAGTCCTGGAACGGTTAAATATTTTAAAAAATAATGCAGATAGAGCTAAAATACTTGGTACAAAGTTACAGGGCATAAAACTCTATTTTAACACATATTCAGTGATTCCATAATTCTTCAGGGGGACCTCCCACAAGGAGTCAGAAGAAAATCTTAAATGGAAGCATAGGTCAATATGCACATCAAATTAAAGGTCTTTTTAGTAGAATACAATGCCGCAAACTGCACTTTAAAAGGTTGATCCTGCGCAAAATGACAGTTGTTCAAAGATTCATTTAATTTACATTGCTATTATACGCTTTCTCAGGGGGCACAGCCCTAGGAATCGGAAGAAAATTGTTAACGTAAGAATAGGTCGATTTGACTCCGTTATGAACTTTGTGTTTTAAAAGAAATCGGTACTGAAATACTGTAATTTAATTCACCGGAGTTAAATCCATTGGGCAGAAGTGGAGGTGAACCCTAGTTGCCCTATTTGGGGCACTGACAAACCCACTCTGTGACCGGACAAAAAACACCAACCTAGTCTAGCAATAAAATAATTTGTGGATGTAGTTTTGAAGTAATTCAAGGCCAGAATGCCAGATGCCAGCTTTATACATATTTAAAACATGTAGTGTAGAGTGTACTTTTATTTAAAATTTTCCATTTTGGAGTGTTTTTATTTTAAATTACTTAGGTATGCTGCAACAGGAAAGGAAAAATATGTTTTTGGCGAATTTCCCTATAGGGAACTAACCGTGGGTGGCACAGTAAGACCTAGGCCCCGGGACCGATTTACTTTTTCATTTTGATGCTCCTGGAGGCCAAATACACCATTCGTTCAAATTGTTATATATATATGTGTGTGTGTGTCCGTGAACACGATAACTTGAGTAATTTTCCTCCCATTTTGATGAAATTTGGTTTGAAGGTATAAGGCGGGATAAACTTGAATGAGTTCGCGAACCAGCATAATTGGACCAGAGGACGGGGTTTTATAGGGTAAAAATTCTTATTTTTGACCCTCAAAACATAAAATTTCCCAATTAATTCATTATATCAAAGTGTTTTTGTACGGATATTGGTTACGGAGAAAACTAAAAAAATTTTTAATTTAAAATGTCCAGGTTATTTTTATGGAGAATGTATAATGTTGTAGTTTGCTTGTTTATGCATATATTTTGATTAAACTTGGCAAATTTATGGATTTTATTCTAAGCTATGATTATTTTACTTAAAAACATCCCTTTATTAGTTTCCTTGTAGCAGCAAACCTAGGTACTCGTTAAACCTAATGTTATTTAAATAGATTAATTGAAAATCAATTCAGGCAATTTTTTTTAATCAATGTTATAATAGTATGGCACGAAATTTGATCAAAATATACAGGGTGAGTTTTAATTGCCCCCCCCCCCCAACTTTTTTCAACATTTTTTCAAATATCAATCCCAGACCACTTCCAAACATTGTTGGGTAGTAAGTACTTCATTTTGACAAGGTGGTCATTTCCGGCCGCCATCTTGGATCCGCCATATTGGATACCAAATTTTTTTTTTCAAATATAAAAAATTCATTTTCATTTTCATTTTTTGATTTTTAAATTTTGACATTTTTTACAAAAAAAATTCAATATTTCATAAATAAAACTTGATAACAAAAAACGGATTGCAGCATTGAGTTAAGCTTAAAAAAGTAGTTCGATATAATGGGTCACAACACCCCCTTCATATTTAAAATAATTTATCACATTTCAAAATGGCGGATCCAAGATGGCGGCCGAAAAAAATACATCAGTCATAACCGAGTGAAAATAGGTTGACAATTACTGGTAGTGTATACTTATCTTTATCTGACACTATTTTGAGATTATGGTCTTAGTTTGTAAATGTGCAATGTTGAAATGGGCTAAAAATAAAGTTTTAAAAAGCCCTCATAAATTTAGAATGAATCGAGATTTTTAAAAACAGTTTGCAGCATTGTCATCAGGGTAAAAATCTAGTTCGAAATAATGGGTCACAACCCCACCTTTACATTTGAAAAAAAATTTTGCATCCAATATGGCGGATCCAAGATGGCGGCCGGAAATGACCACCTTGTCAAAATGAAGTACTTACTACCCAACAATGTTTGGAAGTGGTCTGGGATTGATATTTGAAAAAAGTTGGGGGGGGGACATTTAAAACTCACCCTGTATAATAAACAAGCAAGCTAAAACAGTTAAGTGTTTCTCTATAAGAAGAATAACATGGTAATTTTAATGTAGTTTTATTGGAATTTTCATCGTACCTTTAATCGTACAATAATGTACGAAATAGTATGTTTTTTGTCTACTTGACGTGTAATAAAAATATGTATGGCCATTACAGGAGACAATGATGTTTCCAAGATCAAAAAAGATGTTTTTCACAGAAGGGAGATGACCACAATTTCACCACTGGTGGGAGAAGATGACAATGTACCCATGCCCACGAATGGTGGCAAATGTTGAGAATTTAGCTGCTATAGGCCCTAGCTAAGATTAGTGTCTCCTAAATATCATATTTGTCTGTTCTTGTCCAATACTTACAAAGGAAAGTATGTGTTTTTACTGTCCCTCCTCTACATTCTAGGACATAGACCTAAGCTATGCAGTTACAGCTCCAGCCCGAAGTTGGTCCCACGAACTACCATTAGACCAGCTCACTTCGCTAATAACAAGGTAAGTATGCTGTAAGTGCAACCATAGATTAAACAACTACTTGGTGGGGTTGTCCAAGATTTTACGGTATGGGTTGATTAAAACAAAACATTAAAAATACCTAATTTTTATTAATCTGTACTGAAATTTAAATTACTAATTAAAAATTATGATATGTACATATGTTCATCTCTGCACATTTACAATCCATTATTAAATAATCATGAGAAATATAAAATTTGATTTGCATTTGCACCTTATTTACAACATTATCATACATGCAAAAAATATACATTAAAAATATATACAGATTAAAATAGCTGTGCTTAGATCACTAAAGGCGAGATTAATTCACTTTCATCCTCCGGTTCTCATACCCGTTCTCTCTTTTTACCAGAACGTCTACTGGAAAAACGATTTAACATTTCCGTCACTTGGCACTTGTGATCAAACAATTTCATCACTTGACACTTTGCCTCCGCGAGCTGGTCTGTGATCACCTTACTTCTTTGAATGTTACCCTGAAACAACAATTTATATTACATACTGGTTGTCCTTTACTTCTTCACAACAGGTGAGCACTGAGAAGAGAAAAACACAAGACTAGTGTAGTTATTTATGACTACTATACAACAAATGTCACAGTACCACCATGATAAATACTTCTTTCAACAAAACCCTATTACTTGTTATCAATCATTCATTTGCTAGTAAAATAAATGTGTTAATAACTAGTAATCTTCCATAGCCTTAGCCTCCTCTAATACAAGGGCGTGGCGAGTCAAAAAGTGGCAACACCGCTGTCCCGACAAACCAAAACAGTTGTTATTTCTGTTATTACCATGGCAATAGGCATGCCACACACCAATGCCGCAGCCTCGTATTAGAGGAGGCTATAAATTTTCACATTTCAGTGACAAGTGTACAGAATCATTCTCCAAATAGCTGATAAGTATTTATAGATGAGGTCAGTACAACTTACTTTCGGCCAAGTTTTAAAATCATGCTGGTCATAGATTAAAGCTAGGCAACACTAAATAAATATGCCATAATGCTCCTCAGGCATGTTGTCATCATAGGCGAAGCGGCAATGGTGTAATGTTATTTTTTAGTTATATTTTTGTTTTCCCAGAAAATATTAAAACAAGCAGCTGATCACAAGAGGCAAAAATTACGCCATTGCCGTTGCCTTCGATGACGTCATGCCAGAGGAGCATTACGGCCTGTTTATTTAGTGATGCCTTGACTAAGTCATACAAGTACAATAGACACACATTTGCTTGAACCATGGACAACATTTAACGATCAAGCAGTTTGCGTGGTATGAATGACAAAGTAAGTGGTATCATTAAGTTGCTTGATACGATTGAATTGGGTTCTTCTAATTTTGATTGTTTCATTCTTCAGCTTTACAGTTTTTGTGTCTAAATAACTTATGTTTACAGTAGACCCCCTCTTAACCGACCCTAATGGGACCGGACCTAGGTCGGATAACTCAAAAGGTCGGTTAAAACGGACAATCCCTAAAATCATAACATAATGAAGTGATATTCATTTGGAATTATATAATCATTATTTTGGAATCATAATTAATTGCATTATTTATCAAATAAACTACTCTTATCTCCTTTTTCCTATTGATAGAAAAGTCACAAATAAACACAAAACACGGTTAAGTCAAATAGGCCTACTTTCAGTGGAATATATTATAATACTAGGCAAGAGTCAATAAAATTCCTATTTTAATAACTTTACTACTGTAATTTATTAATTGATGCTTTACAAATCCATCGTAATGAGGTACAGAACCTTTTGTCAAAATTAAAGATACAAGCAACTATTTTGTTACAAGACAGGACGTTTATTTATAGCCTCTCACTGGAGGCTCGAGGCACAAAAACTATCTTGACCTTGGAGTTGTTAACCCCCCTTCCCTGCCCTCCCTACAAGTTGCGTTGTTTGTTTACTCCAGCGATAAGATAATCAGTTCTCAAAATCGTAACACACTTTATGATGTTATAAAATTGCCGCACAGATAACAAACAGATCAGATGCGCTCGAGCTACGAATGATGATGACAAACTGACGATAGGCTGTGCTATATTTTTTGTGATCAACACAAAATAACTTATTCTTAGTCATATCCTGTGGAGATAAGCCTATGGTTCGGTTCTCATCGCCCAGCGTGGGAGCGGAAATGCCGAGATTCCTAGAAAGCGGCGGTTAAAACGAGCTGCTCTCAAAGCAAGGTCGGTTAAAACAAACTGTATTATTTTACGATCGAAGGCGGATAATCCGATTATCGGTTAATACGAGGTCGGTTAAGAGAGGGTCTACTGTATAAAGTGGATACTAATCTTGCACGTTTTAGACCTCACAACAGATTTGAATAACCTAATTTCCATTTTTAACCCAATTAACATATATATTCTCAAAATACAAATAACACCTGCATATATAGGACCGATAACCTTTCTTTTGGTACAACACGTGTGTAAATCGATCTAGTAGTATGGTCAGGCTAGCTGTCATAAGTTTTGCAAAAGTTTTTTAAATATATAAGATTTTAATTTATTAGGAAAATGCTGGATTAACAAGATTTCCACTCTTATGCTGACAAAAACAAAATTTCAGAAAACTTTATTGAGAACTATGATGTTGGTCCCAAACTTTAAAAGTAAGCTAATATAAACTTAAATATATTGAGGGACAACGAGCAATAAGATGGCCAAGCAGGCCTCGTAGTTCAATAAAATATTTTTTTAAGTTTCATTGAGATGGGGGTTCAACTAAGCACATTTTAATCCTAATATGAGTGTACAAAGAGAAAATAGATTCCTAGCATATTAACAGTAAAAAATTATAGTTTACTTGTTTTACCTTTATCAATTCATTGACCCTGTTAATGTCACCATCTTTCCCGGCCTTCTTCTCTGATGCCTTCAGAACTGCGGTCAATTGATCAAAAACATCCATCTCCAGGTCAGACTGAAACAAAAACCAAAATTATAAATAAATATTACGATACATGTACATAATATGAAATGGGGAAGATACAAGCTCGTCTAAAGAGAGGGTTGGTATATTTTTTTTTGAATAGTTGTATGAAGAGTTAATCGCAAAAAGTGTTAATATAGGATAACGTTTTGATTAGCTGTAGATTAACAACTAAAAAAAATGCTCTACAGCCGAGAAATAATAGTAGTAGATCCAGAAACTCTATATCTCCAGTGTTTATATGTACTTTTAACTGAATTTTTTCAGCAAGACAAGCCTGCTGTTCAGTGTTCATCATATCCACACAAAATTCTTTCAAGCTTGGCCTTAACTAAAAATATGCCTCACTTTAATTTTTGACCTTTATTGAATAACCCACCATTCCTCAAACTTGCACTTTACTGGTCCACATTTTAGGGGTTAGTGGGAATATACTGAATCCTGAGTTACAAATATGCTATAGGCTATGTAAAATGAAACTTACGATTTCCGTCATCTGCGCCGCCAGATGGTATATTTTCCAGCCGTTGCACTTCTGCATAACGTTTTTCTGTGACGCAATGTCTGACACGGTCAGCCTCTTCTCTTTGCTAGGTTTGACGTCAGAATACCTCAGAAAGTGGTTGTGTTTCGTCTTCCACGTCGGCCGATACGTCCGCAGCATTGACATGACAGGTCGCTTGGCAGCAGGCTTCACCATTGCTTCAAGTGTGATTCCTGTGTAAGAAAATCTCTTGGATTATTAAGCAAGGTGGATAGTCATCATGAATGTGAGATTTTGTATTTGACATAAAAATAATTTATTAATTAGTTGATTAAAAGAATTCACTGTATACAAGAATAATAATGTTAGGATTAATAATAAGTTTTTAGAATGTCCATACTAACCTTCTTTTGACGTCTTTTTAATTTTTTCAGAAGGTATAAACTCCATTTCTTCTTCACTGTACTTTGGTTCTTGTATTTGATTTCCAGTTCTGAAACAAAATTAATATGATTATCAGCCTAGTCATCTATATATAATACATACTACTTTAAAAAAAAAAACTACAGTAAAAAACAGAATAAAATTAATATTCATATTAATTAAGTCACATTAACATTCTTACTTCAGGTTAAACTTTGAGCTTTAAATTAATGTTCCTTTAACTTAATGAGGCGTAGATAAACACAAGATAACAAAAGTTTTTTAACTATCCTTCACAGAGTCAAATTCACCTTCTCAGGGTGTCCACCAGGCCAACCAGAAAAAAATCATGAGTTATTACAGGTAGTTCAGGTTATACATTTCATACTAAACTTTCTAACGCGTTTTTGCGCAAATCCCGCAATGCCGTTTTAGCCCTAACACAGTTTGCTATTTTAGTTAGTTATCGGAAAAAGCATTCTCAGTTAAAGAAACCATATTTATGATTACTGTAATATTGCCTGACACAAGTATGCAATTTTTATATAATACTGATTAAATAATCAGAAAATTAAAAACTAATCCTTAAACCTGCAATTTATCAATAACATCTAAAAAAATTATCATATCTCCGTACCGACACCTTAAAAATAGATACTTAATACTGATAATTTTAATGTTACCCAATTTTCTGTAAGGATTACTACTATCTTTAAGTAAGTTATATAGCATGTAATTTTGGAGTTATGGGTTGGTATTCAAGTGGCCTACAGAAATAATAATTGCAGAAATTACAAATAATTCACATAGCCAATTTAAGTTTTAAACCCTTCCAAACACATTAAATATCTAACACGTTAAAGGTAAATTAAGATATTACAAAAAATATAAAAATAAAACTTTCTAGAAGAGTGCCATTTTGAAATTTTTCATTCACGGCAAAATCATTAAAAAATCCCCCGGCCGTTTGGGGTTTAGACATCATCATCATCGTCTCCCACGGTCACGGAAATGTCATCGTCGTCTCCTGCGGTCACGGAAGCGTAATCGTTGGCATGCGGGATCGCAGAAAGTTCACTAACATATCCTGCGGACGTTTGGATATCTAAATTGTCTCCCGCGGTCACGGACACATCATCATTTTCCGCGATTGCGGAAAATTGAAATTTCCCGGTAAAATACAAAATTCACGCATAATTCCTGGTTTTCCTGGTCGGTGGACACTCTGCTTCTGCAGATTGTATTAGAGTAATGAACTTACAGTTGTTGTTTCCTTGGTTTTTTCCTAGGACTCATCTCCAGAGGCCGGTCGTCCTCGGTGTTGTCAGGTTTGAGTGGGGGAGAGTCAGTCCCCAGCCCGGGGGATGAGGTGGCGGAAATGGTGGTGGAGCCCCCGGAGCTCTGAGGCCCACCTGCCCCCCGCGACTCTGGGCGAGGTGGAGAACTGGGCGTCGACACACTTAGTGTGCTGAACAGGGGATTCAGGTTCTTGGCAGCCTTGCCTGGTGTTCTGAAACATGATTGGGCCACTTAGTGATGTAGGGGGAAAATCTGAAAATATTTTAAACATGAAGAATGCAAGTTATTATAATATAAGTCTTTTGGGTAAAGTTAATTACAAAAAGTTTATAAAAATTGAAAACCTTATTTTAATTTATTGTTAACCAGAATTATTTTCTTCCAGTCCTTCTGAAAGGTCAATTTACATAATTCATGTCTCTAGGGATGGGACAAAAATATGTATTCTGTATTGCAGTAACCTAACCTAACAACAAGCATCAATCTTTAAGGCCATATTAAGAGGGTTCTACCCGGTCAATTCAAGATGGCGGCTAAACATGCTAATGTTTCTAAACATGCCTCTGCGGAACAAGTTCTAAACACTCTAAAACTAATTTGTTTCCAATGATTGTGTGCTTTTAGTGCTCTTAACACATCTTAGTTTGCAATGGATAAGGATCAATTAATTTTTAACTATCATTTAGAAGCTAAAAACACATTTGAAAAAGACTAATTTACGGATTTTCAAAATGATTTAATAAATACATAAAGAAACGATTACAAAGTTTCAGTTCATCCAGGGCATAGTTTGGATCTTTGTGAATATTTTACAGTTTATTTCAACTGGAAACATTTGAATGCCGCGAGGTTCTTTTTTGAAGGACCATGTTTACGTGGTAACCAGCCGGCGGATGGAACCCTCTTAATGCAGCTGCCTTTACGATTTCCAAGTTAGCTATGGAAAGAATTTTACATATCTTGGCCTCGATTATTGTTCAACAAAAAAACTCTTGAAAGTAAAGCAGCATGGGCCAAATATCACAACTTTTTCACAAAATGTGGTTTGGATGTCTGCTTGGTAGTGTGATACTTGGTGAGTGACATTTAAATCAAAACAATTCTGATAGGGTTGCAAAGAGTACAGAACGATGTCTGCTGAGCTATACGAAGTAAGACAGCCATAGTATTGGCCAGCTGAGCAGCAGAGAGAAATTTTAAATCTTTGTAGCAATTCTGCGCTGTTGCTATTCTCATGTAGGATGAGACCAGTATTAAGATTTGGTATCTCACCCCTCAGGATCCCGTTTTCTCAGTATACTAGGTCTGGGTGAGGCGTTCTGTTTGTGGACCGTCTGCTGGGGTTGAGGTTGCAGATTTGAAGCGTTGTTGCAATTCTCCGATGACTGAATTGTTTGAGCACCTGAAGAAACATAGATGTAAATTACTAATAGTTACAACAAAATAGCTAATCAGAGTCCAATGACAGAATGCATGGTTTAGGCTTAAAGGACATGTAAGTAAATGGCATGTTGTAACCTTATTTGATGCTTAGTTTATAAAACCTTCCAGCTTTAATGTTTGTGTTTCTGCAAGTAACCAATAATAAAAGCTTTATGGGTTTAAAAAATGTTGAGGAAAATACAGGTTAGGTTAAAATGCAAGTAGATGTGTGTCGACAAATCGCTGCACACCACAAAGTTGTGTCAAGCAAGGACCATTTATCATGTCTTATCTAGAAGCTAAAAATGTTTTATGTAGCTTCAAAGCACTTTATCTGGATTTGTCAAATATTGCGCACACAAGTGAGTTGTTACATTCAAATGTTCAGGTACCTGATGAATGCTTGCATTCTATTGGTCAGTTCCTACCCACAAAGGTAGACTATTTATAAACTGCTGTCCCATCAATGAAAGTTTATTTAGCAATCCCTACTAGCATAAATAAATTAAAGTTTGAATAATGTTTAGCCTATTTGATACTGTAAACAAAACTAACACCTTTAAGCAAAGTTATTTTACATTTTTTAACAAACACAACGACACAACATAATAGTATTAATTAGGGGTGTGCGAAGCAGCAAAAAATTTTCGATTCGAAGCAACGATTCGATTCAAAAGATTTTCGATTCGATTCGATGCAACTCGATTCGAAGCAATACGGTATTTTTCTATTCATAATTGTCAATTGAGTGGATTAACAATAATTAAAATGTATCACATTTGTGTAATACAAATTTTTGTTGATGTGGTATTAGGCCTATTTCATACTTAACATATGAATTTTAGGTGAAAAAATATTTATTTTCAATCATATGTATTAGAATAACTGCTGGAAATACCAGTGAGCTGCTTTACTTGCCTATTTCATAATTTTTACTTGAATTGGCTCAACTGCAAGAAAGAAGAAAATATTTTTTTTATCAAGACATTCATTCTCATTTTAATAACTGTTTAAATAACTAAATAGGTGCCGGTAGCTAAATTACAACAAATTTGAATGGAACTTAATATAAAAAGACCATTAAGAAATAAATTTACATATCACAAGTTTAGGGCCTGTGGACCGCTTCAGGACTGCAAGCAAGAAGAAAATAAAAATAATATGTTTCCACCATGCAATATGTATCATTCATTCCCTGCCTCCTAACCTCCTTAGTATAATAACCTCACACTTACATTATTTGTTACATCATCATAAATAAAGAATTATTATTGGCATCAGTAGGCCTACAGCTTTACCTAGGCATTATTTTTATAGGGCCTAAAATAGTAATAGGCTAGAAGCAACATGTCAAGTGGAGAACTCATTGAAGAAAAGATATTGTGTAAACTAATTTCCTATAAAACTCAAAAACAGTAAATAACATACAAACATTGTTTATGGTTTAATTAATAAGGACTAAAAAATGCATATCATGTCATACAGTAGTATAGACCTACTGCAAGAGATTAAAATCCTAAAACAACTGATTTTGATAGCTAATGAATGAAAAGAATTAAAAATCCATAAAATAAAGCCAAACAATATCACAACTAATTAGGTACCCGAAAAGTAACTCTTAAATAATATATAGAAGATTAAAATAATATTAAATCAAGAGACAAGAAAGTTAAATGCTATCTTCTAGCCTAGTGCCCTTGGCAACACAGGTCAATGTTTTTAAACTACCCTCAATGTTTTTGGAACAGCAGGGCCTTTTTCTCTTAAGGAAGGGTAGTAGTATGTCAACAAAAACAATGAATCAGTCTCACCAGCCAGGCCCGGGCAACGATGTGTGAATTCAAGGTCATAGACCCTCCCCCTCCCCTCTTACACCACCCGGTTGCTACCCAGTTGCTTCAATTGCTGACAAAATGCAAGTGATGAAACAAGGGAGTAGAGACAAAGAAATATATTTCTTTATTCAAAAACACAAAACTGTTAGAGATTATTTTCAAAGAAATTAATTCAATGTAATTTGTGAGTTGTAAATATTGTATTGGATCTTAGAAATATATTTTTTTAACCCCATCTAACCAAGATACAGATCTGTTCACTATATCAGATATTTCTTTTGTTTATAATTTATTATGTAAAATAATAAAATATATTTTTAATTAGGTATTGAATAAACAATAAATGATTATACTAGTATGTCTGGATAAATAGTCTTTCTATTCTTTTGACTTTGTTTTCTTTGCACTGTTAGTGTTGCGTCACGGCTTTTGTCTTGTTACTCTTATCAGTAGACGACTAGACCTGGCTCTGGCTAGTGGCAGTGCGGCAATTGCTCTGTTGTGTCTTTATTCTTAAAGGTCGTGAGCCAACTTAATTTTTAATTCTCATTTGAACATTTTAATTCCTCTGTAATAATAGATATAATAATATAAGAGTGTTTCTTTGGAAATAAATTATTCTTTTTTTTTCTTTTGCCCCAACAAAAATTCGGGGACGGGGACCGGCAGACACCTAACAAAAATACCAAATGAATCAGTCTATAACATTAATCTTACTAGTTAAGTATTAAGTAACAATTTTTCAGACTTATTTTTAAAATGATTTTGGAGTAACCTACCTTGTTTTGGCTAGGTTCACAGTAGTAAAATATTTCACACACTGCTTACATCAAGACAAAAAACAAACCTCTAATCATTTGCAATGTCAAAACAAAAAAATATAAAACAATTAAAGCTATATTTAATGCAAAGAATGTATTAAATAAGAACGCCTTCGTAAAGGAAACGCAACAGCAACGCGCTCCTGTATTGCGGGTATTGCATTGACTTTCTGCAGGCGTTTTTCGTATATGGATACTGACTCCCTCGTGAATCGAATCGTTTTTTGACCACCACTGAATCGAATCGCGATTCGATGCATCGAATCGAATCGAATCGAAATTTCGATGCATTTTCGATGCATCGCACACCCCTAGTATTAATCACAATATAATGTAATAATGAATGGCGTGTATGTAAAATAGCACCCGTCAAGTAGACAGCATAGCCGTTTGTGTATAAACACAACAACATGTATGTATTCATTACACAATAAAAATTACACTTTAGAAAATTGTAAGATCCATCGGGTACTCACTTTCGCTAGGCACATAAGGGTGAACAGTAGAATCAACTGCCATTCTAGGGTTGAACAGTCTGACAGGAACAGTGGAAACCAGACCTGAAACATACAATCTAAGCTGCTACCATCTCTTGAACAAGATTTGTAGAAACTAGCCGGACACACAATGTGAGCAGGACTGTACGTCAGTTATTTTGTAAATACAGATTCAATATACTGAACTACAATACCGAAAATCATAATTGATTCATGATGAGTACATTTCGAGCCTAAATCGCCAAATGATAATTTCAGATTGATATTGAAAATTGCCGTTTGCTGAAACAATGTTATCGGAATTAATTTTTAACAATAATGTTAAATTTTTGTATTTTTTATACTGTCCAATGTTACGTATTTTTAAGACAATGTATTTACCAACTTTACTTACAGTTTTGGACTATTTGTCCCCTAGAATTTAGAAAACCATTCAGCAATTAAATCTAGTTTAGTTTCTGAATATTACTAATTTTGTTTTTTATCGTGGATTCAGCTATGGCATTTCTCAATTCCAACCCCTCTCCACAGGTACAAAAATTTAGGGAATCTGCAGGTCCCTGATAACTTTGTGAGGGATTGGGCTGAGCTGAGATTATTTCCGTGATCGCAGAAATCGTGTGCAAAGATGCAAGATAGAAAATTTACTATTATAACGGTTTAAAAAACCTTTAGTCTCCAGTTCAAAATAAGTGGGTCCGCGGAATTGGCTAACTCTGGAACTCGCTAACCCCATGTTAAATGCCCTATCTTCAAATTTGGTCGATGAGAGGAACTCGCTAACTTGTTCGGTTTCGGAATTGGCTAACTCCGGAACCCGCTAACCCGCTCTAGAGCCGGGTTAGCGAATTCCGTCCTCGTACGGAAGTCGCTAACTCGGTCCCTCGGCGGAACTCGCTAACTCCCAATCAGAAGCCTCGCGGGCCGTCCAATGGGAGCCAAGCACGAATATTTTTGGCCAGTGTTGCCGAAAGTGTAGTACCTATATCGTATCGGCACCATAATGTCGTATCCTACGCTTAATTAGGAGTAAGAGCAACGTAGTCGATAAAATAAATATATTTTGAAGTATGTTTAACCACAGAGAAGTTCTTATGATTATTAGGGTGGAAAATGCATTATAGTCTTACCATAGACTAACCAACACAAGTAAACTTTACATCCCATTGTAAACTTTGAAGCTCGTTTTTCGTGTCTAGTTCATGTCCGGTGACACTGATCGCTAGTGTTGACAAAATTGTGTTTCTATTATTTTATAGTTAACTTCATGATTTGTTCCTTACTGTTTGGTTATATAACTAGGGGAAGTGTTATTAGTTGTGATTAGAACGTTTTATTTGGTTAAACGAGGTTTTAAATTACTGAAAACAAGAAACAATTGTAAACCAAACACGACCTCTAAAGACAGCACACCGGACAGAACTAACAATACAACTGTCTTCAGATCATCCATAAGGATGAGAAATGTACTAATATAAGGGAGTATGTTTTATATGTGGGTTTCTTACATAATAGTAGTTTATTGGTATGAAAAAGATAAAAATGCACATTTAATTTAGATCTATTACATGTTATGAAATATCTATTTTCGTAGTCCGCCATTTGTTTCTTTTATTCGAATAAATACCATTTTGTGAACTTCTGCAAATAAAATTTTTGAGTTCGTATTTTATATACTGGGCTTGTAGTAACCTTAAATCATAAATCATAATAAAATTTACACGTTAAACGTCATTACAGAATTACATTGTAGTGGTTATGTATTTTTAAATAGAGCTATTGAATTTAAATAAATATTTATCAATACATTATAAAGTGGTAGGCCTAATGTATTCATGGATTGCATTAAAAGTTAGTCTATGCATAAATACAACTTGTAAATTTCTTTTATCGTAGGCTATTAGTGTAGAACCCGGGTCTACGAACACAACCCAGGTTATAGAACCCGGGTTGCGAGTTTGAACATGGTGAACAATAGTACTGACGATTCGCCGGCTCCGTGTAAAAGTTGTAATAAACTAATTAAACGCGGCTGTCCGGGTATATACTGTGAAGGCTTTTGTGCAGGATGGCATCACCCAGTTTGTGTTGATGTTAACGAAGACATTTATGATAAAATAAGTGAATTATCGGAACAAGTGAAGTGGTACTGCAAGTCGTGCTCGGGTAAGGTGGACAAGGCGATTGCCAACGCTACTTTAATTGACGAAATCCTAAACTTACGTGGATGTGTTGATAGATTAGTAAACTCTGTAAATGACTTAGTTTCTGACAATAAAAATATAAATAGGTCGATTAAAGTATTATCTGACTCTAATAAGAGGTTATGTAAATATCTTGCTGATGGACCTGAGACTACGGTAGTCAAGAGTATAATTGGGGGTAGCAACTCCAGCTCGTTATTGACTTCAGCAGTGGACGTCAGATCCGGCTCAGGAGTGAATCAGACTGAGACTTTTGAATCTGAATTGGATTCAGGACTTGTGCCGAAGGGTGATCAGACTGAATCTGAATCCATTTCACTTGTAGCACCGAATCCATTTGACATTGACAACGAAAACGAAAGTTATGATGAGCAATTTCCACCAATTCATCAAGTGAATAAGGATGGGATTAGAGACAATTCGGATTGGAAAAGAGTCCCAAATCGGCGAAATCGAGGTCGTGGTAGTACTGAGAAAAGGAAGCTAAATGAACCAAAAATCGGTACAAGGACTGACTTAGCAATAACGACGAAGGTGCGTGCTGCTGAGCGGAAGAATTGGCTGTTTGTTTCGAGGTTATCGGTTGAAGTTTATAAGGATGACATCGTGGATTATGTAAAGAGCTATTTAACTGACATTGATGTTGACTGTGTTGAACTAAAGCCTAAACATGATTCCTATAAGTCCTTTAAGTTAGGCGTGAAGACTGAAGACTATTCTAAAATTGCTGACTGTGGTTTTTGGCCTGTTGGGACCCTTGTGAGGGAGTTTGTCGTAAAGTCTTCTAGACCTATTAAGTCTAAGACTTTTTTACCGAGACCTCAAATGAATCCAGGGTACCGGTAGTGAATCTAAATCTCTGCTCGATAAACATCCAGTGTATCAGAAATAAAATATTAGAACTGGAACTTCTGTGTGCACATAATAACCTGGATGTGCTTTGTGTAATGGAGCATTGGCTTCAACCTGATGAAGTTCAATTTTATAGTGGTATTGGGAACCTCAAGCTTGCCTCCCATTACTGTAGGACAAATTCCTATTCTGGTGGTGTTGCCCTATTTTTGAAATCTGGGCTGAATTTCACCTGCTTGGATGTAAGCAATTTTTGTGAGGATTTCGAGGGTGAGTTTGCTGCTGTATTACTACATGATTTGAATCTTATTATAGTTGCCATGTATCGGTCACCTAATGGTTCGATTGATCGTTTTTTTGAACTGCTTGAACTCTGTTTAGCTTTCTTGACTACATTTGGCCTGTCGGTGGTTATAGGTACAGACCATAATATAGACCTACTTAAGACAGGAAGGGATTCAATGGACTTTTTAAATACCCTCCGTAGTTTTGGTTTTTACAGTAGTGTTTTTGTGCCTACTAGGGATAAATCATCCATTGATTCTTTTTTAACAAATATTGACAGTTGGAACTATGTTGTTGTTGTCAGTGATGACATAATTGCTGACCATAGGCACATTTTCCTTCAGCTTAAATGTACTAGGCCTATAGCTCGGGAGGATCGGTCAAGCAATCTGACAAAATCTGTATCATTCAGATTATTTAACGAGACTAGTTTGAATGTATTTTGTGACGACATTGCGAGTCAAGTAGCAGTGTGGTTTAATGAGACTTGTGGACTCCCAGCAAATGATGCATTTAACAGTTTCTTTCAAAATTTTAAGGGTAAATTTGATTTCTATTTTCCTGTAAAACGCAAGACAGTAGCTTCACGTAACGGTGTTTGTAAGGACGGGCCTGCAAAGTGTCATGTTAGTAATTGGTACACTGATGAACTTGCTGACTTAAAAAGGCACATACTTCTTGTTCATGATATGACCAAAAGTAGACCCGGTGTTACTCCTTATCTTCGTGAATTGCGAAGAAACTATCGTCTAAAGCTACGAGAGGCGAAGCTGGCTGCAGCGGCTGATAAAATATCCAGGGCTGCGAACCCGTGTAAGGCTGCTTGGGACCTGATCAATAAACATGGAGCTGGTTCCTTGGGTGTTGATGGCAAGTTTGCTTCTGCTGAGGAATTCAACCACTTTTTTGTAGACTCAGTGGCTGATATTGTGAGCGGGATTCCTGTAAATGAGTATAATTACATAGATAGCATTCCATTGGCCCATGTAAATTTCCAGTGGAGAATGGTGAATGCCTTAGATATTGTAAATACTGTAAATAGCTTTAAATCCTCTAATAGTAAGGATATTTATGATATGTCGGCTAATTTTATGAAAAGGATTGTCATTTTGATTGCTCCAATCTTGGCCCATCTGTTTAGCTCCTGCCTTCTGCAGGGTGTTTTTCCTGATGTACTGAAAGTATCTAGAACAGTGCCAGTATACAAGAAGGGCCCTTGGGATGTAATGGAGAGTTTTAGACCGGTGTCTTTAATACCGGTGTTTGGTAAAGTATTTGAGGTGATCATGTTGAATCAGCTCTGCGACCACTTTGAGGGGAATAACCTCCTTGCCCCTATTCAACATGGTTTTCGGAGGGGAAGGTCTACAGTTACGGCTGTAGATTCTCTCCTTCAAGTAATTTTGGAAGCTTTTGAGAGCAAGTCGTCAACTGCTGTTCTTTTGTGCGATTTATCTCGTGCGTTTGACTCTGTTCCTCATGACAACTTAATTGAGAAATTTAAGAAGTATGGCATTGGGGGGAGTGCCCTCAAGGTGGTGCAGTCTTATCTAGACAATAGGTCTCAGATTGTAAGTTGGAATGGTAGCAACTCGAGTGCCATTGAGGTCAGATGTGGAGTCCCGCAGGGCTCAGTGTTAGGGCCCTTCCTTTTCATTGTTGCCATGAATGATCTGTATCATTGTGTTTCTCATGACATGTTGTTGTACGCGGATGACACTA